CTTTGACCACCTTCACCCATTTCGCTCGCCCCACCATCTGTTCTCTGTATCTGTGAGCTGTTTTTTGTTTTGTTTTGTTTTAGATTCTACACATAGGCGAGGTCATAAGCTACTTATTTTTCTCTTCCTTCATTTAGCATAACGCCCTCCAGGTCCGTCCTTGCTATTGCAAATGGCATTTCCTTCTTTTTCTGGCCGAATGATTCTCCACTGTGTGTGTGTACAGCACACACCCGCCACCTTTGCTTCACTGTTTCATCCATCTGTGGAGACTTAGGCTGCTTGGCTCTTGTGGATAATGCGGATATGAACCCGGTGCATTTGTACTGACTGTTCTGAGTCCATGCCTTCACCTCTTTAGGGTGTATACCCAGGAATAGAATTGCTGGATCACACAATTCTGGTTTTAACTTGCTGAGGAGATGCCGAACTGTTTTCCGTAGCGGCTGCACCGGTTTGCGTTCCCACCGGTGCCCAAGGCTTCCCTTTGCCCCACATCCTTGCCCCAGCGCTTGTTAACTCTTACCTTTTCCATAACAGCCATTCTGACAGGTGTAAGGGGACCACTCCCCGGGGGTCTGATTCACATTTCTCCGAGGATGAGTGACATGGAACACTTTTTCATGTACCTGTTGTCCGTCATCAGGTCTCCTTTGGAAAAATGTCTATTCAGGAGTTTTGCCCATTAAAATAGTAGATGGCTTGGGTATTTTAGTTTTTTTGCCATTAGGTTATAGGAGTTCTTTATAGATTGTGGATTTGCGCCCCTTATCAGATATGTGACTTATAAATATTTCCTCGCACTCAGGAGGTTGGCGTTTCGTTTTGTTGATGATGGTGTCCTTTGCTGTGCAGAAGCTTTTCAGTGTGATGTAGTCTCACTTATTTATCATTGCCTGTGTTTGCCTTTGCTTCCGGGGTCAGATTAAAAAAAAAAAATCGCCAAGACCAATGGCAAGGAGCCCTAACCACCTGTTTTCTTCTAGGAGTTTTATGGTTATGGGTCATATGTCTCTAATTGCTTTTGAGTTCGTTTTTGTATATTTAAGAAAGTGGTCCAGTTTCATTCTTGTGCGTGTGGCGCTCCAATTTTCCCAACACCGTTTATTGAAGAGACTGTCCTTTCCCCAGTGTATGTTCCTGCCTCCTTTGTTGTCTGTTAACTATGTGGGGGTTTATTTCTGGGTTCTCTATTCTGTTTTTATGGCCGTACCATACTCTTTTGATTGCTGTCGCTTTGGTCTATAAATTTTATAAGTTTTAAATCAGAGAGCAGGAAACGTCCAGATTTGTTCTTTCTCAAGACTGCTTTGCTCATTGGGGTCTTTTGTGGTTCCATCCAGATTTGGTGATTGTTCTGTTTCTGTGAAAAATGCCACTGGCGGATTGCACTGAATCTGTAGATTGCTTTGTGGAGTATTAATTCTCCCCAACCATGAACGCAGAGTATCTTTCCATTATTTGTGTCTTCAGATTCTTTCATCAGGGTCTTAAAGCTTTCAAGGCAAGATCTTTCACTTCCTTGGTTAAATCTATTCCAAGGTATTTTATTCTTTTAGGTAGAAATACAGAGATTGTTTTCTTTCTCTTTTTGGTAGTTTGCTAGTCATGTATAGAAATGCTGTAGATTTTTGTGTATTGATTTTGTATCCTACAACTTTATTGAATTGTTGATTAGTTCTGAGAGTTATTTGGTGGAGTCCTTAAGGTTTTCTATTTATAATATGTCGTCATGCAAATGGTGATCGTTGTACTTCTTCCTTTCCAAGTTGGATCCCTTTTATTTTTCTCAGTTGTCTGGTGAGGACTTCCAATACTGTGTTGAATAGTAGAAGGAATCTTAGAAAGCTTTTAGCTTTACACTGTTATGATGTTAGCTGTGGGATTGTCCTATATGGCCTTCATTATGTTGAGGCATGTTCCCTCTACACCCACTTTGTTGAGTTTTTATCATAAATGGATGTTGAATTTTGTCAAATGCTTTTTCTCCATCTGCCGAGATCATCACCTCTTCTTATCCTTCATTTTATTCATGTGACTTACCACATTGTGGAGGTTGAGCCATCCTTGCATCCCTGGAATCAATCCTGTCTTATGGCCTATGATCCTTTAATGTATTATTGAGTTCAGTTTGTTAACATTTTGTTGAGATAATATTCTTTTTTAAAAAAAACTTTAATGTTTGTTTCCTTTTGAGAGAGAGCGTGAGCAGGGGAGAGGCAGAGAGAGAGGGAGACACAGAATCCGAAGCAGGCTCCAGGCTCTGAGCTGTCAGCACAGAGCCCGACATGGGGCTCAAACCCACAAACCATGAGATCATGATCTGAACTGAAGTCCGTCGCCCAACCAACTGAGCCCCCCAGGCGCCTGGAGGAGATGATATTCTAACAGGGCCCCTTAACCTATTGTGTGCTGTGGAGCTCTTCTTGGAACAGTGGTTTCAGATGCCCAAAACAGAACATGAAGGGTTATGAAGGAAACCAGTTATATCAAACGTAGCTCTTCCCCCGCCCCCCCCCCCCCGGCCACCCCTGGCTACCCTGGCTGAGGCCGCCTGCTGCTCTAGACCACGCAGAGCCCCCTGAGCTGCCCCTGGGGCCCCCAGCAGACAGCTGGTCCTGGGCAGGGTGGGTGTGGCTGAGCAGCAGCCTGAGTGAGTGTGCGGAGGCAGCTTTGACAGGGCGGCTGGTGTGAGGGGGCCGTGTGGCCTGGACTGAGAGCCCAGCTCCGCCTCTGGGAGCCATGCGACCCGTGTGGGTGCTGGGATGACAGCGGGGACAGTTGCAGCAGCAAGAGCAAACCCTTCGTTCCGCAGCGTCCGCCATGCCCAGGTGCTGTTCCCAGGAGCCCTGCACGAGTCCTCGGCCCTCCCGGTGCCCCAGGTGGGCAGGAGCCTGGGCCCAGTGGAGTGGAGCCACCTGCCCGTCCCAGGTATCAGCAGCGGCAAGGCTGCCCTTGCCGAAAGCCCAAGTGTCCTGGCTGCTGCCCGTGCTGCCGCCCCCTCCCCTCCTGCGCAGACCTGACCTCCACAGTCTCCCCGGGGCCCCTGGGGTCCGTGGCTGCACTCTCGCTCTGTAGTGCAGCCACCCCGGGACCCGGTGGTGCCTTTCCTGTGGGCGCTTTGAGCCCCAAAGTATCTGTGACTTCATCTCATGTCCCTGTGTCAGGCATGGGCTCCACACGCAATACAGGCTGTCCAGGCAGGCTGGGGGTCCTCTGGCCCTTAGGGTGACAGCCTGACTGTCCAGGTGAAGGTGTCATGAGGTCATGGGAAGGGAAAAAGGGGGTTGGAGGGCAGCGATGGGGACGGGTGGGCCTCTGGGATGGGGAGGAAGGGCCTCAGGGAAGGTGACGCAGAGACTTCTTGCCTGCCTGGGGCCTGAGGGGCTGTTCCCTGGGTGAGGGGACAAGTGTCATCCTGGCTGTGGCGAGCGGGGAGGCTGGTGGCCGGGGTGGGCGTGCGGGAGGAGAGTCCGGGTGCTCCTGGCCTCGGTGTGGGAGCCGCCTGGAGTGTGGTGAGCGTCAGCACCGCGCCGGCGAGGCCAGTGGGCTGCACACTTCACCTCTGCGCCGCACGGCACTGGGCCTGGCCGGTCCGGGTCAAGGCTAAGACACAGGCTCAGGAGGACTCAGAAGGCTGGCAATGGAGAGCCTGAGAAATGGAGGCAGCACCCAGTGATGGGGCAGCGCGCGCTGTGGTGCTTCCTACCGTTCTTCGAGGCGTCTGCCTAGTTCCTTCCTCCGTCGTGTCTTCACGGCAGCTGGGAGGTGGGGAACCGTCATCTTGCGTCACAGGCAAGGGGACTGGGGACCAGAGGGGTTCTGGGGCTTCACGGCGCAGCACAGCCCTGCAGTGGGACCGGGGCCGTGGTGCCTCGGGCAGGTGCAGGGGACACGCAGGGCTGGTGACTTCTGTTCACAGCAGGGCTGGCATCTGTCCTCCAGGTGAGCGTGCTGGGCAGGGCACACCACCTCCCCCGCACACATCTTCAGAGGCACCCGCACGGTAACCGAGGCCCGTGCTGCCGGGGGGCCCACGCCCGCGCCCCCCCCAACCCCCCAGGGCAGGGCTCGCTGCTCTCTGCTGGAGGCTCGCCCTGGGTGTCTTCTGCAACCTCAGGAAGCGGCGAGCTGTGGCCGCGCTGGCCCCCGGGGGGGTGTGGTCCCTGCTCTGTGCCGGCACCCAGGGCCCTGCGGCCGCTGAACCCCTCTCCCCCTTCAGGAGCCCCGAAAACCCCCTCTAACCAGGGTGGGGAGGGGGCAGTCTGTCAGCAGGAAGGCTCACGCATCCCCGAGCTGACCAGCCATGCCCCTGCGCCTCCTTTTAGCCTCTGGACGTGCCCTGCCCCTGTCGGGGGCTCCCAGCGTCAAGTGAGCACCTTCAGGGCCCAGACCCCGTGTCATTTTGTCCCCTGTGCTCCGCGTCCTCTGGCTGGGGCAGGATGGCCCTCCATTCTGTCACGCACTGATCTGCACATGTTCGCTGAGCACTTGCTGTGTGCCACCTAGCGCCACGCACAGCAGTGAAGACAGCCGCGCCCCTGTGCCCGCGGGGACTGCCCCCTGGGGGAGGGACGGAGCTAACGAGCACGCAGGGGGCTTGAGGGCAGAGGTGACGGGGCCCCACGAGATTCTGTCTTCCCTGCCTGGCCGGTCCCAAGGGCAGGGCTGGTGTCCCGGGCCCAGGAGGCCTCTGAACCGCTGGTAAGCCGGTGGCTTTTGTGTCACCTCGGTGACGTGTCCGTGACGCTTGATCATCTCTGTACCCTGAGCTCTACACACGGCCTGGAATCCTAAAGACAGGTTATTTAAAATAACGGTGGCGTGCGGAGATCCTGAGCAGTGAAGACGGCAGCGGACGTTGTCCATGGGCCGGGATGCCGCCGAAGCCTTCCTGGGGCTCCTCCGGGGCCCTCCCTCCGGAGACGGCCGCTTGTCTGTCTGGCTGCCCCCGCGCGCCGTCTTCGCAGCCGCCCTGACGGGCCCCCCTCTGCCCACAGGTCTCCGTGCTGGTCCTCTTCGCCCTGGCCTTCCTCACCTGCGTCGTCTTCCTGGTCGTCTACAAGGTGTACAAATATGACCGTGCCTGCCCCGACGGCTTCGTCCTCAAGGTAAGGCTCCGCCCCCCACCCCAGGCTCCCAGGATGCCTTCTCCGGTGGACAGGGCCCTGCTCTGGCCGAGGGAGGCCTGTGATGGGAGCCCTGTAGAAGGGGGCAGGGGAGGGAGGCAGAGGGGCAGGGGAGAAGGCAGGGTGGACCTATAAGCATGGCAGCTCCTGGGAACGGGCCTCAGCAGGGGGCACAGAGGCCTGGAGGGAGGGAGGGCTTGCACAGGGGGATGGGGAGCAGAGCCGGACACGCCCCTCGTCTCACCCCTGCCCCTCCTCGTCCCTCCACTGCCTACTCTGCCCGGCGGCGCCTGCGTGCCTGGCTGTCCGTGCTGGCAGAAGTGCCTGCTTTGCTGATGTGATGCCGCCTTGTTCCAGAAAGCCTGCAAGTGGCACAGAAGGGTACACAGGGGAGGAGAGGGTGACATGATGACAGGGCGGGAAGATGAAGGGGGAGGGGGAGGGCAGGTGGACTTGCTCCCAGTTCCCACAGTGCAGCATCTGGCCCCTGCCCCGACCCCCCACGTTTGGTTCTGAACTCGGCAGAGCCAGTGTGAAGGGAAAAACGACCATTTCCAGGGTTTGGTATTGCGAAACGGAAGCAGGAGAAGCCCTTGCTGAGCACATGCGCGGACGGGCTTGGTTTGGGGGTTGCGGAGGTGCGGGTGGCGGAAGCCTGGCACGGGTAGCGGGCAAACAGACGCATGTTTCCCGCCACACTGCGCTGTGCATGGCTCTCTGACCCTGCGGCCCTTCCTCGGCCCGGCAAGTACGTGTTGTGTGCCTGCCGCGTGCCGGTGGCCGCCGCCGTTATTCCGGGTGCTGGAGCACGCACGGCCCGGACCCCATTGGGTACAGACCCCCCCACCTTCGGGAAGCTCCCTGCTCTTCTCAAAAGAAACGTGGACTCAGTTGTATTCTGAGTTAGGGTATGAGCCCCGGAAAACCAAAAAGCAAAGCAGGGCTGGGGGCTGCAATTTCTGGAAGAGTGGTCAAGTTGCCTCTAGGAGGCCAGTGAGGGAGCTGTGTGGGGGCCTGGGGAACCCCCCACCCCACCCCTTCAGCAAACCCCTCCGCACCCTGGGCTGGGGCTAGAGGACGTTATGGTCTGTTTGAAAGCTCAGGACCCACCACGATTTAAAGGAGGCCAACCCAGAGGGCTTGGGGGTTTCAGGAGGGGAGGGCTGGCCTTGACCGAGTACGTACAGCAGCAGACGCCAGAGGCCAGCAGGGCCGGCCAGGAGGCAGCAGGGAGAAGCCAGCTGTGGCCAGACTGCAGCACTGGTGGTGCCAGGCAGAGGCCCCTGGGGGCGGGAGGAGAAGCGACGGGACGGCCACTCGTACTCAATGGCGCGGGGAGGCTGGAGGTTTGGCGAGGTGGCCCAGGAGGGTGCTGCAGGGGAGCCTGGGAAGAGATAAGGGTCTGGACTCATCATGGAGCTGGTGACGGAGAGGACTCCTGTGTGACCTCAGACTGGAGAGTGACTCTGGGATGCAGGGGAAGGGCAGGAGGGGATAGAGCCTGGCCCAGGGCTGGGTGACGGGGGCTGCGGTCACGGAGAGGAAGTAACGCAGATGCGGGAGCGGTGCCCTGATGGGAACCGGGTGTGCAGAGGACAGCTTCCTGGGACCGGACGGGCTGCTGACGAACAGGGCCCGGCGGCTCCACGAGGAGGGTCTGCTTGGCTCATTCTTTCGGGGCCTCGGGTGCACTTCCTGCACGGAGGAGGGCGCAGGTGGAGACTGCCTGGCCCACCCTGCAAGGCCAAGTTCTGCTACAAAACCTGGTCCAGGCGGGCGGAGTCAGAGATGAGGGCCTGCTCCTCAGAGCCCCTGCAGGGAGGAGGGAGGAGCCTCTCTGGGTGATCCTGGTGCCCAGCGGCTCGGGGATGTAGAGTCAAGTGAGCGGCCTGTTGCTGCGTCCCTTGGGACTCTGACATTTTCCACTGGCATTTCCATCTAATTGGGGCGGATGTCCTTCCTGGAAAACATAGCTCGGAGGGCTGGGGAGCTGCTAGTCTGTGTCCAAGAGCCCTTGGCTAAAGCTGGAGGGGGAGGGGAGAAGTGTGACGTGTACCAGAGTCCCCTCCCTGCCTTTCTGCCTGTTTGTGCAACTGTGCACCTCACACGCAGACCCTGACGGTTTACAGGGGCGTTTACACGTGGATTTCTGAGTGCTCCCCAAACCCGGGTAGATACCATTAGATCCCCGCTTCACCAGTGGTTTCCATGCGGCACAGACACGACCTTCCTTGTGTCCAAGGTCACCTGCTGCAGTTCCTTTATCCATTCCGCACATATTTATGAAGTGCTTCCTGTGGTGAGTCTGCCTGGGTGCGAGGCACACGGCGCAGGACCGGGGGCGTCAGGCCCGACCCCCGGGGCCTGCAGACAGGCAGACACCCAGTGCCAGGCAGAGAAGCGGCCAGGGTGACCGAGAGTGCCTGGCCTCACCTCCTCCAGATCGCCTAGGGTGCAAACCGAATGGGGAGTCCATTTTGCCAGCGGTGGTGAGGGCCTGCCCAAGGACTGAGGCCACAGACCGGGCCGGGTCCTGCTGAGCTCCGGAGCCAGAGGGGGCCCCGCGGGCCGGGCTGATGGGCACAGGGGCGGCAGAGGGCAGGCGCCTGCGCAGTGGGTGAGAGGAGGCTCCTCCTGCCCAGGCCTCCCCGCCCGTGTCCCCTGCTGACAGGTGGGCAGGGGCCGGTGCTAAGTTCTGCCTTTTTCGTGAAACCATGAAGTCATCATAGGGGTTTCATGGGGAGGGTGTACCTGTAACAGGAAACTGCCCAGCCCGCGCGTGCTGACCTGGACAGTCTCACACCCACGTTCTCACGGTGGACCTCGTGCGTGAGGAACACCCCGGAGCCGGCCGTGTGCCAGGGGCTGGAACGCGCGTTCTCTGATTGCCTCCTTGGTCTGATTATCATTTCACTTCATGGCTGAGAGAAGAGGTGCAGCTGCCCGCCCCCCCCCCCCGCCCCCGCCGGGCATGTGGCTGTGATTCTGGCCTGATGGGCGCCAGGTCAGAACTTACTGGGGAGCCCCTGGCCCCATGCTCCTCCCCAAACCCGGGTTCTCACCTACCCCTGCCCACCAGGGTGTTTCCGCAGTGTTTTCTTCCTGTGGCCCGTGTGCTGGCCTGGTGCCCAGAGGGCAGAGCTATTCTCCTGGGTGCGGAGCCCCCATCCTGGCCCGGAGCAGAGTGCCACACTGCCCGGTGTGTGCTGGTGGGTGGCAGGAGGAGAGGACAGGTGGCCACGCTGGCTGGGGAGGGGGTGGCTGCCTGCCTTACCAACCAGACCGGGGGGGGGGGGGGCTGCTGCCGCCCGATGCCCCGGTGTGGGCGTGTGTGAGCGTGGACACATCCTGCCTTCCTGGTGAGCCACACGCGTATGGTGTGCCCGGGCTGCATCAGCTGTGGCGGGCCAGTGGCTTGGGTCGGCTCCCGGACCAGGAAAGGCAGCCTTGGGGACAGGATCTTTTTGGGGTCCTGGACCTTTCACCAGCTGATGAGCGCCTCCTCAGGGTCCCGTGGCCTGTAGGGACAGGGCCTCTTCCTTCGCGGACAGCTGCCTGGGATGGTCCCCTCCCCCCGCCATATGCTCTCTGGGGTCCTGCTGCTTCTGGGTCCCAAGGTCACACCAGCTCCCGGGCGGGACCTGCAGGCCTGTGTGGCCGTCCTCTCCTCACCCTGCTGGTGCCCTCCTGTCTGTGAGGCCCGTCTCCTCTGCCTGAGCGCTCTCCCTCCTCCCCCCTCCTCTGGAGAAGGCCTACTAAAAACCCAGCTCCCAGGACGCTTTTCTGACTTCCCTTCTTTCACTCTCAGAGTTATTTCCTAGTAGATGGAAACTACGTGACTAGCGTGAGATCTTCAGTGAAGCAGGAAGGCGCATTGTGCCCTTACACGCGTGAGGCCCAAGCCTCACCGTGCCGCGGCCTCGTACAGAGGTCTGTCCCGTCACCACGGGGGCCGCGTCGGGCAGTCTCTGAGCCATGCTCGTCGCTGTTTCTCCTCTTAGCGCAGGGAAGGCGCTCAGCAAACACCCATGGGGCGCTCCCCGGAGACACCCCGACACCCCCGGCCGCATCGAGACGTGATCTCCACGGTCTCTTGTCTTTCAGAGCACCCAGTGCATTCCAGAAGGCTTGGAGAGCTACTATGCCGAGCAAGACTCCAGTGCCCGGGAGAAGTTCTACACCGTCATCAACCACTACAACTTGGCCAAGCAGAGCATCACGCGCTCCGTCTCGCCCTGGATGTCCGTTCTGTCGGAAGAGAAGCTGTCCGAGCAGGAGACGGAAGCCGCCGACAAGTCAGCCCAGTGAGATGGGCAGCTTCCTCACAATGTGTCATTCGAAGGTAACAAAGGGACTTGGAGGGACGTTTCGTCAAATATAATTACCGATAATTTAGAGGTTACTCATTTATGGTGCAACTGCTTCTGTTTGCTAATGCTGCTTTGCCAATAAAACTTGCTGCCGACCGCTCATGGGCATAAGATCAAGTGCATATCAGCATTGCTTAAAGAGCTCTGACACCACTTTTCATGTTAAGGAATCTTAATTTAGCTACTTTACTGAGATTTATTGGATGCCATCAAAAAGTAAATTTACACTGGATATGCAAGGGGTCTGGATTCAGATGAATAATGCATTTTGTGGAATTGATTTTTACTCCCCTCCCTGTCCCCTGCTGTTTGCGAACCTTACTCCACAGCCATTTTTAGAGTGGCCCCCACGTGGCTAAGAGCAAGCCGTACTTCACATTTCTGCCAGCCTTCAGCTGGGTGGCAGCAGTGTCTCGCCACGGTGCCCGGCGGTGAGAGGTGTAGAGAAGGAAGGAGCTAGGACGTCTGGGGGCAGGTGCGCCCTTTCCTTCCCCGCGCTCACGGCCAAGCGTGCGGGTGTCCTGCCTGCAGCACAGCCGCTTGGGCGGCCCTGCCCCTCCCCTGGAGCTGGCACCTTGGTGTGGAGAGCCCACGCATGTGGCACATGGGGGGAGGAGGGCTGTGGGAGGACCCTGGTCCGAGGCCTGAGGACCCCCGCCCCCTGTAGGTAGTCCGTCTGCTCTGTGATGTGTTGAATAGACTCCTGTGGTCTTTTTTGTTCTCTCCTGCTAATAAGTGAATTTGCACCCACAGCCCTGTTAGTGAGTTTTTAAGACCTTGTTTGTGCTGGGAAAGTGAAAATGTACTTGCTGGGAAGCCAAGACTGATTTTTATTTTGTGAACTAGAAATCTTTCGATGTGAGAAGCAGGCTGGGGGGAGGCTGGGAGGGGCTGGCCTGGCAACTTGCAGATCCAATGAGGACATTTCAGTTCCCGATCTTTGTAAGGAAATTACATTTCAACCTGAATCTTGACATTAAAGTATATGTTTACAAAATGGCCAGTTAGCTAAGCTATGTGTGTAAAACCATTAAATAGAAACAAGACGCGCAGACATCTTCTCCCGTGTTACCTGTGCTGTTGCTGGTGGACGTGTCTGAAGTTTCACTGTTTTCGGTAGATCGCAAATAAATGACAACTAGTTCGAGATCTGTTGCAAACAAGTGTGGTGGCCACGGCCGACTCCATCACCGCTTCCAGACCTGGATTTTAGTATGGAGGGTGTTTTGAGACCATGGCCTCGTCGTTTGTGTGCTGAGCTCAACCACACAGACACCTCTGTAAGCGTTCAAGCCCATGCAGACGCGCTGCTCAAGCAACACCCCTTGGTATTTTCTAGTAGACATTTTATTGACGGTAAACGCATTCACATGTAACTTCTGACATTTCACTCCATGCAAATAAAGAACACAAGGGTCCCCGTGGCTGCACCACAGACTGGCTTTGCAGGGAGCGGCTGGGGGCCCCGCGAACGCCGGCACGGACGTGGCTCCAGAAGCCCGGTGCCTCCCGCTGCAAACAGGCATCCCTGTTTGGTTTCTAGAGGGACGGGTGCACAGGGCCAAGGGCAGCTGGCCAGGTTCCTGCTCTGGACAGATGCTCCTGGGCCCTGGTGGTCCCTTGTGAGTGCCCAGGGCCGGTGGCCACACGCCTTCCCTGACAGGCAGACAGGCAGGCATCCGCCGGACTTCTGTATTCGGACCCACTGACGGTACACTGAGTAGCTGTAGTTGCGTTTATTAGATCCGTGAGGCAAAGGTGAGTTTTCTACAATACAGTGACTGCAGCACTTGGCTCAGGCAGACAAGAAGCCACAGGAAACAAAGTGATGACCACTTGTTGTGAGAAGTTATTACCCAGCACTTCTCCTAAAGCCACCGGAAGGGCAAGGTCGGTGCTTCCGGCAGCCCCTCCACATCGGCCTCCTGTTAGGGTGCCGCCGGCAACGACCCCCCTCTCCTCCACCCTGCCTTGGGACTGCCACACAGACCACCTCCAATCTGCGTTTTCTTTTTCAGCTACTAAATGGGCTGAAGACCACAGGTCTGGGCATCCCTTCTGTGAGAGTGTGTAGGTCTGTCGCGGCCCCCCTCCCCCCAAATGCGGTATAATCTGGGCACAGCCCCGCTCCGATGCCGGAGCCCCTCGACGGCGCACCGCGCGCCAGGCGTGAACGGGGCAGACTAGCTGTCGTACCAGTCCAGGAAGAGCAGGGAGAAGGAGCACATCACCAGGAAGAAGAGGACCCACACGCGGAAGCCAGCGTTGTTTTTAATGGCCTGGGGGCGGGAGCAGGGACTTCCGTCACACGGGGCTGTGGTGTGAGCAGCCCGCAAACGCTCCATCTACCTGCGTGTGTGCTCTCCCTACCCTGGAGCCTGCGCCTACCTTACGAAGCAGGCGAAACCAGAAAGTGGGTTTAGGACCCACCAGAAAACAAACCGGCGTTTCCCTCCTGGCTGGCCCTTCCTCACACGTCCTGCTCACTTCTCCCAGGAAACACCCAGAAACAGCCCACGTGGGGCCCAGGGTTGAAAAGAGCATCGCGGCTGGTGTGGCTGCTGTCTGCTAGCGGGACAGCGGCCCAGGAATGGTCCCACGTCAGCCCAAACCCAAGGACCACACACAGTGTCCAGCCCCAGCCTCAATAAACGGGGACTAGGGCTGTGGTCCCCATCCGTCAGGGCGGGGGGTCCAACAAGCTGCTCCGGTGGCACCCACCCCTGGTTTAGGGGGCCGGTCCAACCCTTGCCCAGAGTGACCTCATGTGCCTCCCTCAGGTCGCTCCCTTGCAGGGCGGGGAGTCCTGTCTCTAGTTAAGAGCAGGTGCCGGGGGTTTGGCGAGGACAGAATGTGACCGCCCCCCAGTCAGGGTCTCAGCCCCGCGGGCCGGGCCCCAGAGGCGCTCCCGCAGCCTCTGGACGTGGGGCCGTGCCGGCAAGGCCTGGGGGGCCCGAGGGCACTCACCTCTCTGATGTCTTCGTTGCCCTCCTTGATATTCTCAGTTGCCCCTACGACTAACTGGTGAATGCTGTCGATCTCCGCTTCCTACGGAACAGGAGTGACCGGGAGACCCCGCCATGATCTCCTCCCCGAGCATCCGTACATCCGTAGCCAGCAGGACTCATGCGTGTGAGCCCGTGGGTCCTCACTGTGCCCCGAGGGGCAGGCAACATCCCCATCTTACCAAAGGGAAACTTAGGGTTCAGAGAAGTTTAGTAATTTTCCCAGAGTCACGCAGCCACTGTGTGGCAGGCCTGGGACCAGAACCCGGTGCCTGTCCCCCCTTCCACCCCAAGCTGCCACCTCCTGTGCCACCTGCCAGCAAGAAGGGACACTCCCGAGAGCTCCCGTGGCAGCCACCACATGCCAGGGGCTTCCCTCTAGTCTCGCGTATCTATGAAGTCCAGAGACCAGCTTCCAATGCGTGGGCTTTAAGACCCACACGCCGGCTTGGGGGAGCGCGTTGCGTCTCACCACGTGTCTCTCTAAAAAAAAGGCCTAAAACATGTGACGATATTGGCTCCCGTGTGCTGAGAGCCTGCACGAGCCGAGAGCGCGTCAGGTACCTCGACCCCCAGCCCTGACGGCAGAGGGCGGCGTGGCTGGCGGCGCCCCGGTCACCCGTCCACGCTGGAAGTCCAGATCGGAGCCAGTGTGTGACCCTACCTGGCCCCCGAGCTCTCCTGCCACACTGAGCTGTCCCCAGGAACGGGTCGTGTGCTCGGACAGGGACAGCTCAGCTGCTCTATGTGTCAGGAGGCTGAAGTGACAGGCACGAGGCTTCTAAGTGAAGGCTCAGCACACACACACTTGAATAGGTCCTTCAACTGTTAGAAAGGGCACCTCTCACGAAACTGAACTTCCTGTTAGGCTGCATGTACCTAATTCACAATGATTCAACTCCAGTTGTGAGGTTTCCGGCAGGTTTTGTGGGGCGGGGGCGGGGCCGAGGGGGTGGGTCTTAAGCCAACACGGCCAGTGTAACACAATGCAGCAAACATGACATGGTCTTTGAAACCCTTCCAGGGCCTGCGGATGCTAAAACCAGAAGGCCAAACTTACCAGTCAGGTTGCCGCACGTTGGGCCGGCTACTGGCTGGAAGAGGTTCGGAACTGGAGGCAGGCAGAAGTAACACGAAAACCCACCTGTGAGAACCACCCTGTTGCCTGCGTGAGGGGCTCCTGAGGCGGCACGGCATTCCGAGCGGGGCCGAGTGTGGCCCTAGTCATGCCATCGACTGACCGGCTACAAGCCGCCAGGTGTGCTGGGCGCCTCCCGCGGGTCACCTCTGGGCCGCACGACCGCCCTACGCGGGCCACTCCGTTCGCAGCCGGGAGGTCGTAGCTCAGAGGTGCCCAGAAGGGAGGTGTGCCCGACCCCCTCCTCTGTGCGCTCCACCGCACACACGGCCGCCCGCACGCAGGCTATGCGGGGACCCGGGGCCGTCCTGCTGGGGGCTGGCTGGACGCACGCAGCTCCGAGCACCTGCGCACGTGGCTGCACAGATCAGGCAGAGAGCAAACATCCCGACTTCACAGTAGATTCCTTGAAGCCAAAACTTTTAAACCATGATTTTTTTTTCTTACCTGTTGTAGTACCTTCTCTGTGAAGATTTCTTGGAGCCTGGAAATTTCAACCACTCTCCCTTCGATTTGCCTTCATTAAAAAAAAAGTACATACAACTATTAGTAGGTGGCAGTCCTAGTGGGAACGCCACACATTTCTAAATGGACCACGTGAGAAATGGAGGGGACCCCACCAGAGTCTCCAGAGAGAGGGGACCCCACGTCACCCGAGAGGAGGGGCACCACGCCATCCATGAGCGAGTGAGGGACACCACGTTATCTGCAAGGGGGAGGGGCACCAGGTGGGGCTCAGGGAAGGAGGCGGCTGACCTCACACGCACCGGCTTTCCTTGGAAGTCTGTCACTTAGGGGGCGCACTGCAGTGAGGACACTTGCCCTCCCTAAGCTGACCCACGGTGCCCCTGCTTGGGGTCCACACCCCGGTGGCAAAAGGCGGGCTTCCAGTGCTACGCAGCCCAGTAACGGTAACGCGGTGGGCTGAGACGCCCGTGGGCTGACAACCCCACCCCGTCTGCGGGAGGTGGGGGACGGTGTATCTGCCACCGGACCTACTTCCTGCTGAGAGGAAGCCCTCCTCTGGTTCCCTCTGAAAACGTATCTGTGTGCAGCAACCAAGAGTCTGAGCTGCTCCCCGGTTCAGGGGCAGGAAGGGGGCCTCAGGGTGGGCTGGGGGGTGGCCAGGTGTGGGGAGGAGGAGTGAGGCGGGAGGGGAGAGGACTAGGAGGCCCACAGAACGAGGGCAGAGGCCGCAGAGGGGCACGGGTGCCATCAGGGTCCCCGGGGCTGTCCCCAGGACACACTGTCGTGTCGGACGAGCCCACGGTGCAGCAGGGCTTCAGGTCCCTGCAAAAGCCCAGGCCTTCCTTCCAGATGCTCCCGACATTCTCAGGGAAACGGCCCCCACGTGCTTGCCCTAGAGGGCCAGCCAGCGACGGTCCCCACCAGTGAGCACGGCCACTCACCCTCCAGGCCCCGAGGGGGCAGACAGACCCGGGGCGGGGGGGCACCCGACCTGGGAGTGAGAACCAGCACGTGGGGCGTGACCTCCCACGGGCCCACAAGGTCAGGGGAGCCACTGAAGTCGGGCAGCTGCCTGGACCCCCGAATGGCTGAGAGGGGTGCATGTGGCCAGGGCCACAAGGGGGTGCCTGGCTATCTAAGTAAATGAATAAAGTTCCCAGTTTGTAGAAAGGCTGAGGCCAGCAGCTCAGAGGAACCACACACATACCTCACTTCATCAAACAGGCTGTTCATCTCACCAATTAGGCGCTGGTTCTCTTGTTCAAACTGTGAGGAGACAAACACATCAAGGGTGACGTCATACTCAAAAGCAACACAAAGGCAAGTGTCTAGCCAGGCGTCTGCACAGAAATCTGTGATCTGCTCCAAGAACTGCCACCATGGCCCTCCTCCTGGCATGGAGACGTGTGGCATCTGTGTGAAAACATCGCTGTGGCTGGGCCTCTGCCGCCTGCAAGGCCGACGTGAGGCCCGGGAAGGTGAGAGCGTGGAGGCCGCGGTCGCCTGCGTCCTTCCCCTGCTCTTTCCCGTCTCAGCGGAGAGGTGAGCTCCAGCAGCGCAGCTGAGTGCAGGGCAGCCTCATTTCAGAGCCGGGCCTTGGCCACCCCACCATGACAGGGACACGGGCCCAGGAGCCAGAGGAGCTGTGGTCCTGGGCCTGGTGGGCCATCAGGCTTCAGGACTCAGTCTGGGTAAGGATGCCAGCCTGACATCGGGAGCCCATCAGAGCCGAGTCCACCCCGGAGCATTCGGCCGCTGCCCTCGCTGTTCCCACCAAGCGAGAGGATGGCGTGTCTGAAGCTTCGCTGTGGTGTGGGGCCAGATCTCTGTGCTGCGGGACCCACGACCCCGCCGTCATATGCCCACTCCGCTCCCTGAATGCGCACTCAGTCCCAGGCCGGGTCCCTCCATGTTCTGGCCCACGTTCCACAGACCCAGCTCAGATGCCACGTTTTCCGTGATCCATCCCAGGACCCCCCAGCTTGAACTTATTTCTCATGTTTCTAACCTGGGCCTAGTGCCTTGTGAAAAAAAATCTCTTAGGACATTAGCCATTTTAAGCCTTTTAAGCTGTCCACGTCCCAAATGCCCCCTGTGACAATGAGCGCCCGAGGCAGGGAACCACATCAAACCCAAGTCTGAAAAGACCTCGCACGCATTCCTTCCTTCACATCTATTAAAGCGGCAGTGCCGTCCACGGCTATTTTCTGAGGCACTGTCTGTGCCAGGCGCTGGGTGGGGGACAGACAGAGGTAAGCTCCTGCCCTCCTACAATCCAACAGCGCATTTGCCACCCAAAGCAACTTTGGGTTAGTAACCCCAACCAAGCTAGCACTTGCTCAGAGAAACAACGGAGGAGACACCACGCTGGGCGCGTCACATGCAGGGAACTCACGTTCTCCCTGCTGCACCTCCTCCTCCACTATACCTCCTTGCCCCTCCCCGTGCCCTCCTCCCCTCCCCTCGTGCCTTGCTCACTCCTCCCAGCTCCCCCCCAGCCCTCCACACGGGCACCCTCCCGTCCTGTCTGCCAGTTCACCTGCGCCCTTCCCTGGCACCTGTGCTCTGCCCGCATCATCTCTCTCTCTCCTCCAATCTGCCCCCCACCCCTTGGTCAGAGTGATCTAAGATGCCAGTCATGTCACGCCGCACCACGCTGGCCCTGTCCCTGTCCCTGTAGATGAGCGCTGAGGTGCAGCCTTCTGCAGCCCTCTGCCTCAACCCTGCACAGATTAGCTGAGGGCTGATGGAGGCTGAGGCGTCCCCTCACCGGGAGACTCTGACGGGTCCCTAGACACCCAGCCTAGTCACATTCCTAGTGACCAGGCACATCAGGCAGATTGAATCACCTTCTACCAACTTGTCTCTTTATAAAGCTCCCCTGCACCTGACCCATCCCTACACTTCTTGCCCTTGTTGGGGGGCCGTCTTCCCACCTGCCTAGGGTGGGGTTTTCACTGTCCCCCAACACAGCACAGGCCCCAACACACTGCAGGGCACCCAGTGTCAGCCCCGCTGCTTGTCACAACACAGAGAGGCCTCCACTACACCCCAGACCTGCTGGGTCAGAGAACGAGGGGCCAGCACTGTTTTCAGAAGGGCAGACGGGCCAGGTAGCACTCTGCTGGGCCGTGTCAACCATAGTACCGGTGACAGTACCAGGATGGCCCTTCTAATTATGCATGAAACACACTATTGAAGGGACTAAAAACTTCACTTTTTAGAGTTTGAAAGTATCAGCCCTGTTAACTGTTAACTCAACAGTTACTTAAGAGTCCGGTTGTTTACGGAAAACTACAAGAACTGTGGCACAGAGGTGCTAATTCTCCCGGGTATTATTCAGGGTTTTGGAGGGGGCAGGGTAGGGGGCATTTTCTTATTTTTTTAAGTGACAAAATATGGCTCTGTCCTTTTAAATCCTCAGCCCTTTTATGCTTTCTAAACTGCTCCTAAGCAAGACCAGCCAGGGGTTTGAGGTGGTTTATTACTGGAACCTCCCCGGGAACAAAGCTCTGTTTCCTCCCCAACTCTGGGCATGTGGCACCGCAGCCCCTCTCCCGACTCGCGTCAGCAGGGGGGTCAGATTCTGGCTCTGATTTCCTTTCAACCGTGGGTTCCTGCATTTGAGAAGTACCCATTCCCGGGGGCAGGGAGGGGGGTGGGGAGGAGTGAGAGAAACAAATGCCTCCAGGGATCAAGTGGGAACAAGGCAGAAGGAAGAGGTGGGCATGGCCAGGACCTTTATGGAAAGCAGCCCCCATTTGGGGGCGGAGTTACAATGAAACTGTGTTTTCAAAAACAAAACCAGTTTTTCCCATAGCCAGGTGCAAGGCGACCACAGAATGGGTCTGGCAGGGCTCAGGCAGATGAGGTAATGGCCAGGCTGCTGACAGCATTCACCTGCACCAGACTTCAGCATGGGTTCCGATGCTGTCTCCACGGCAAACCCGCGTGCCTCACCCATCCTGTGCAGACGAAGGCCGGGAGCAGCAGGTGTTGGCCGGCGGGGGCAGGTGGTGGACACGCCTGGGACTTCAGCAGGCCTGCCCCAGTGGCCTCAGCGGAACTCCTGGGGTGACCCCTGGACCAGTCACTGGCTTCTGTCTGGGCTGTTATGTGACAGGGCCTCTTTGAGAACAGATGTGGTGATTCTTATCCGTTCCTGCCTGATGCCGAGGATGGGGACAGATGACGGCTCCTCTACCTTCGAAGCTACATGCCCGTGGGCAGCTAACTTTTCCGTGCCTTTATCTACATCCCTAAAATGGGATGAGGACAGTAATTAATACAAAAAGACGTGCTAATGCATGTAAGTTGCTTAGGGTGCACGGCACATAGGAAGCCCTCACTAAATGTGAACTATTAATCTCTCTGGGAGTGAGATTCCAGATACGCAAAGTGAGTCCTAAAATGTTCTGAAGGCCCCTTCCACCTCTCTGGTTTCCAATTTTAGAGCCGCTGTGACTTGAGGTCATCTCGCTCTGTCCAGCGTGAGAAACGCTCACACAGTGTTCACTGGGGCCCACTGGCAGCTGCTGGCGTAGGATCCGTCCCCCAGAGGACAGGGACCTCAGAAGGTGCAGTAGCCGGAGGCCTGGTCTCCACCGTCAGCACCAAGGACAGGGGTCCCCGCAGGCCGGAGGAAGAGCGCCCCGCCCTGTCCCAGGGCCCCCATCTCTGTGAGGCGCTGGGAAGCAGGACATGAGGCCCCACGACCGACGGGTAAGGAGGACAAGCAGGGCCCGCGACGCAGGACAGCGGGCAGCCTGTGTGGCCTCCTGCCGTGGCTCCTTCTGCTCCATACTGTTTGGTCTCCCGCCAAATCGCAGTGCTTTCCCTCAGCACAGACACCCGGGGCAAGTTCCCCTCAACCACGGAGGTAGGCACCACATGTAAAGGTCTAGGACCTGCGAGCTCGCTGTAAAATGGGGCCGGCGACAGTCTCTCCCACACGGGGTGGCTTACATTAATGAACACTCGAGTGCTCAGAGTGGTACCTGGCGTGTGTTGTGTGTTACATGCGTGTTAGGCAATATTATTTAACTGCTTTTATTTCATTTAGAAGTAAGACTTCCAAATAGAGGGCCCCAAAAAGGTTTATAATCTGGTTTAAAGGACACAAATCCACACTGAATACACTGTTACAGAAACCCTTTTCTAATCTAATCCTCTCTACTATAGTTTTAAAAAGAAAATCACTCCTACAAAGGCCTTTGGGTAGAAGATGAGGCCCAAGAAGTTATTTGCATTGCAAAGAGGCCAGAGCAGCTAACTGGGCCAAATACTACGAACCCACCCCAGGGGCTGGGACCCCAGGGGCTCGGCCTGAGAGCAGTCTGTCCCCACCACCCCGGCCCAGGACCTCTCTGGGTTCTCGAGATGCGCTTCATCTATGTCAAACACCTGCATATTCATGGCTCTGTGACCCTCACCTCCATCCCCACCTCTGCCCCTGCGAACCTAAAACCTCCCCAGGGTGTGGGCCTCGGCTCTCAGCCGCGTGGTGCCCAGATTCTACCGACAATTACGAGCATGGCCCAGATCCCAAGCGCTGCCAGCCAGCCCCCTGGTGTCCCAGCGGCCTACCACAGGGGACATAGGCTAGGGACACCTTTCACGCAGACTGAAGAACAGAAGCCGTACGCATGGCTTTAAAAATTATCCTAAGGGACACACCAATAAATGCAGATGGTTTCACTTGAGGTGAGTAAACTGAATGCAGGCTTCGAAAGGAGGGATTTTCTCTGTGTAACATCAGAAAACAATTTGGTTCCACTCAGCCTGACCGCAAAACATCTGCTTACAGTAACTCAGACGTTAATATACCTGCACCACGAGTTATAAATGGAAAATCTCTGTGCAAATCATCTAACACTCTGCAACCATTTTGGAACATGTAACAACTGCTCCTACGGGTGGGATAATGAATTAAGTTGATATTATAGGGCTTAATTCATTCTTTTGCCCCGAGGAAAAATTCCAAAACAGTGATTATGAATTATGACCACAGTTTGCTACAACACTTCCCAATTTAAAACCAATAGTGTCGCATTTATTTCTCTTCATTTTCAGGGTTGAGTCTGTTAAGTAAGATTCGGGTTTGTCAGCCTGTAAGATGTGGTACTTAGCTATTCCTCCCAATTAAGAGAGAAGTTAAGTGAACACTTAAGAGCTTGCAGTGGAAGCTCTGAACATTACAGCCTCCTGCCCGACCCGCCTGCAGTAGCACAATACAAATGAGGGCGTTCTTGCTGGTCCTGACCACCTTAGTCACGGACGCTGGGGCCCTGAAACAGCCAGCATTGCTGTGAATGGTCAGTAGCATGCTTTTAGACAACAACTCAGGACAGGACACCAAAGAGGGAACACAGGGCATCAACAGTCATTATGCACAGAAAAGCCTCAGGACGTGAACCTTTCTTCCTCACGTGCATTAGCTCCAACCACATCCGGGACATGTGCAGGGAACGCAGGTGCGCACAGGGACAGCAGCGGCGTTCCAGCGTGGGGGCCACCACTGCCCAAGCAGCTCCTACGCGCCCCGCGGGGCACCCTTCCGTCTGTGCACACTTCCCGACAGTTCCATGGGGTGGTGATTCTTGCCACACTGAAGTGCGGGGAGGCTAATTTTCTCACCCCAAACCACACAGACAGGAAGTGATGTAGAGGATCAGGGACTCTGCTGGGTCCCCGGGCCCATGCTCATTCATCACCTCTCACAGGGACAGAGCGCCAGTGGATGAGGTGCCCCTGCCGTGGGCCTTCGACCCCGTCACCTGTCCAAAGGTCACGCATCGGCAAAAGCTAAGAAGATGCCGCTGCTCACCACGACCCATGGGAGAAAGGCAAACTTTGCTGGCAAATGGCTGACTCTTGTTCTAGCTACTTCCTCTATGAAGTATATTAAAGAGAGAAAAAGCCTTTCAAACAGGAGGTAGATTCTGCTTACGTACAAATGCATTCAAGAAGCAGAGCTAAGCATATTTTTTCTCTAGCAAAGAGATGTGGTCCTGTTACCTTATTTGAGGGAACATGAAGTCATTATTTTCATTAATAAAATTATTTTGGACAAATTGAAGAAAATGGGGAGACTGTAAGAAACCTGCCATCATTTGGCTATAAGAAGGGAGTATGATCTAATCATCCTTTACTTTCATTTGTTGGCTTCTCTGCCCCAGCCTGCCTCCCAGTGGAGTGTCGGGGGCGGGGGGGGGGGGGTGCCCTTTGCCTCTCCCTTCTCTCCCCAGCACGCACAGTTTCAGACATCGGCAGGAGGATGCCTCCCACGTCCACGTCTCTAGCCGGAGCGTCAAGGCCACCGCCCCCCAGACACTTCCCATAGATGTCCCAGAGGCACCGCAAACACAGGGCTCTCAAAGGGAATTCAGCATCCCTGCCCCACCCAGCCGGCTCTCCCTCTGACTGCCCGCATAGGCTTCCCAAGTCAGAAAGCTCCAGGCTCCTCCTCCCCGGCCCGGCCCGGCCCGGCCCACTCCCCACACCTCTCCTCTCTGCCTTGCCCTGCCCGGCCTCTCATCACCTCCTGACTGACTAGAACCCACGCTGCAGCCTTTCCCTGGCCACCCTCCCTCCACTCTCGAGGCTTCCGGCTCCCACGTCTCAGTCTGGGGAGCACTGAGCACCTACTCAAGGTCAGAGGGTGTGTTCTGGAACCCCGGGAGAATGTGGAGAATGGCAGGGGCCTGGGAGCCGTCTGAAGCTGTTTTAGCCCGTTAACACAGAGTGATGTTTGTCTGTAATGAGCCAAGATAGCCCTGCTGATTATTCCTGACAAAGTACCACAGTCTGTGAGGGGACACCCCGAAGCAAGTCCCAGCAAAGTCACGGCTAAGAGTACGATCACTGCAATCAGTTTTGTGCTTCTGAGCCCAGACAGGAAGCCACTCATCAGGGGCTGGGGGTAAATGTGAAACTGTACTGTGTATAACATATGCATTAAGCCGCCGCAGCCACCTGCTTGACCCATGATGCTGCTCTGAGTGTGGCAGGCACACCACTGTCCTCTCTGCACAAGTGCAGCTGTGACCCCGGAGCCCAAGCCCTGCTCAGTGCCGTCCACCCTGTGCAAGGGAGAGCTGGCCTGCCTCTCTGCACCACCTGCCACACCGAAGGGGAAAGGCTGGGGGAGCCCGTGAGTACTCGCTGTGTGCCTGGCACCATGAGGCAAGGACCTCCTGTCAGCTCACTCAGTCATGACCCCCACGGTGAGGGGGCCACAGCAGGTCAGCTCAGGGCGCCCGGGGACTCAGTCGGTTAAGCATCCAACTTTGGCTCAGGTCATGATTTCACGGTTTGTGGGTTCGAGCTCCACATCAGGCTCTGTGCTGACAGCTCAGCTTCGGAGTCTGTGTCTCCCTCTCTCTGTGCCCCTCAGCTGCTCATGCTCTCAAAAATAAATAATAATAAAATAAAAACCACCACCAACCAACAACGACGACTAAGTGGGTCAGGCTTGGAGAAGAGACAGGGAGTCGGGAGAGCAAGACGACTGTGAGCCGAGAGCAGGCCCGCGCCGCTGGCCACCCTCGCGGGCCCGGCCTGCAGACCCGCACTTGTGCCACCGCTCGGCGGGGCCGGGGGGATGGGAGGGGCTCCCTCCTCTGCCAGGCTGTCCGTGTCAGTCTGCCACAGGCTCCTACACGGGCTACAGCCCCTCACACCACCAGATCCCGCCAGGGGCTCCCATGAACTGCGATACAGGGGGACGTGCAGGGCGCGGGGCACAGCACGTGGCCTGTCTGCTGCACCTGCTCTGTGACCTTGCAGGGCTTTAGAGATTTCGTGCCTCATGGTTTTCACATGTACAGAGGGACCATTCCTTCTTCACTGCACTGTCATAAAGACTGAGTGAGACACACACAGGCGCGGCACACAGGGAGCACTGGTAGGTGTAGAGTAACAGCAACCACTGGAAGCTCGTACATCCCAGAGTTCTCACTGGTGATCCTGCCTATGGCTGACGTCATACTCCTCAAGGGTGCTCGTCCACTCAAACACCACTCCAGGCTCTGGGAGTACGGGAGCGACAGCGGAAAAGTCCCTGCACTCATGGCACTGGTGTTCTAGTGGAGGGAGAAGGGATAACGTGGGGTCTGGGGACGGAGTGGCTGGGAAGGCCCCTCTGAGGACATACCGCTTGAGACCTGCGAGGCGTATAGACCACAGTGACGAGGAGGAGGCTGGCAACACAGACGCCTCGGGGGGGGGGGGGGACTCAAGGCTGGGATGAGCCCCAATCCCGTTCTAATGGGACAGGGCTTCGGCTCCGATCTCCATGCTTCTCTTCACCAGGGGCTTAGGTTAGAAACAAACGTGTGAACCGATTATTAATAAGCTCTACCACTTATTAACGACTAGGGGACCTTGGGCCACTTTACTGCCTGTTGCCAAAGTTAAGAGGAGATGGTAATGCCCCATCACCTCTGAACATGTTTATGAAGAGGACTGTGGAGAAAATGAGCACTAGGAAAGGCCTGTCCACTGTCAACCGCGGTGCGAATTAAGCTGCTGTCACTTGTCAGGTACAGCACTGAAAGTAGCACGCCGTGTGGGGACCAGCTTCCCAGCTCCTTGGGCCACGGGCAGTGCTGGGAAACGTCCGTGGCCAACCTCAGGCAGCATATTCCATCGGCCCCGTCACGGCAACGTCCAGATGTGCTATGTGCAGGCAGATGCTGCTGCGAGTGGCGGGGCGGGGGGGGGGGGAACTCTTGACAAACCAATCCGATTGGTTTCCTTCTGAAACTCACTCAGAGAGACAACCTGCAATTGGCAACTAGGCCTCAGCCCTCAAGGGGTGACTCTACATCTTTCAGTCATTACTTCCGCCTTCTCCGCATTAGCATAACGCCGGCAGTTCAACAATTAAAAAGTAGCACGGCAATAATTATAAAAGACCCATTTAGCCTGGAAGACTATTTTACTGCAGCTGAAGAGAAATCTAATATTAGTAAAATTATTCCAAGGCAATTTCTTCTTTAATTATGCTACGGCAAATTTAAAACTTATGAAAAGCATACTAAGAATTAGGAAACCAGGTGGAAAGGTTGCATCTAAAATATGTATTTATGATTATTTATTTTTTAATCTTTGAGAGACAGAGAGAGACAAAGCAAGCAGGGGAGGGGCAGAGAGGGAGACACAGAACCTGAAACAGGCTCCAGGCTCCGAGCTGTCAGCACAGAGCCCGACGCGGGGCTCGAACCCACGGACTGTGAGATCATGACCTAATACCAGGCGCCCCTATATTTATGATTTTTAAAACTCGGTGTAACCATCAGGGCAAGGGCATTTAGAACGACCTCCTACTTGGTGAAACAGTCTTACTAACACTAGTTAACAGCGCCTGACTGCGCAGAGTAGCCTTACCATTTGTATTTCTTCTGGGGATAATTCGTCTTCGCCTTTGCCATCTCCCCACGTGCCCAATTCAGGTTGGGAGTCGGCCGGAACCTTTTCTGTTAAAAAACAAAACAGAACAAAACAAAAAGAATAAGGAAAAAAAAAGAGAAACAGAGGGCAAAATACTTCATTTAGAAGATGCTGGCTTCAGACATAGGTGTGCTGGGAGCACAAGACAGAAGAGGGCCTTCTGGTTTGTCCACGTTTGGGTATCCGCTGCCTCACACTCAGGTGCTGTACTGTGGTGCTTCTACAGTGTTTAGGCGTGTGTGTGTGTGTGTGTGTGTGTGTGTGCGCGCGCGCCCGTGCGTGTGGCAGAAGGAGCCCCTGCACAGCCTCAGTGCCATAGTGACTTCAGCAAGGCTACAAATCAAAGGGCCAGTCGTTAAGTGTGCTTGACCATAAAACACGAGCGCACATGCCCGCCCTCTATCTCTGAAGCACTGCAGTATGTGGGCATTTCCATTAAATACGCTAGGACAGGACACAGCACTCGCTGACCCTATTCCTCTCTGAGAAGGGGCCACTGCGAGCACTTGACGTGGCCTCACAGACCTTGTCCAGTGTGCTCGCATGCACACACCTGGTAATTCCCTGCCTCCTCCCCACCCCCACACTGCAATCCAGTGTGTGTACACAGTGGCTCATAAAACTTGCTGCGTACGGCTTCACTGTACCTGGGAGATTACCTCGCATCTGTCACATAGATAGATCTGCTTCGTTCTCTTGAAATGCTGCGGGATATTCTGCTGTGAGGAGGCACCATTCCTCACGTGGCCATCACCCCAAGGACACACCTTCGCTTCTCTGGATCTCTCCCGGGTGCGAAGGCTCCGGGCGCCAGTCCACACCTGGAGTGCTCCCGCTCTACTCTGGACGCACTTTGCGCATGAACTGCTGACTGCAGGTGTGTGAACGTCTTAGAGAACTTTTTAACCATGATCACATAAATGCGTGATGAACGCTTAATCAAGTGTGCCAACACCCCGGGCTGCGAGGCTCGGGAGGGGTGTGCGGTGGGAACCGGGCAGTGGACGGAAGGGCTCCATCCTTGGTGGAGGCTGTAATGGGGTCTTGTTTTTTTTTTAAGTTCATTTATCTTATGAGAGAGAGCGAGCGAGTCAGCAGAGGTGCGGCAGAGAGAGAATCCCAAGCAGACTCCATGCTGTCAGTGCAGAGCCCGACATGGGGCTCGATCTCATGAGCCTGACATCATGACCTGAGCAGAAACCAAGCATTGGATGCTGGACTGACAGAGGCCCCAGGTGCCCCACGGGGTCTCTCTTTCTAAAGGTGACTTTGTGTCTCGCGTCCCAGTGGTGCCTCGAGGCTTGTGAGCAGGGTGCCAAGTACTGCTTCTTTTTCTTTTCTCCCTTTTTCTCTCTCAACCCCAGTAACTTCCCACAGTGACCTCAGCCCCATGAGATGGGCCAAGTCCAGAGTGTCGGTTTTGAGACTGTGACAGGGAAGGGAGTGTATGACAGCACCAGTTTAGGTGACACTATTCCAGATACATCATTACAAAAAGCCTCCATGCATCCAGAACACCTGTGCAGGTTTAAAAAACAATGGCTGTTTGTGCCAGAACTATATTTATAAAATGTATATATAATTTATATTAATATACATGTAAATAGAATAAACATGCATCATTTATATATAAAAGATAGGCTGGAAGCACCTTGAGAAACTGGCGGGTGTTTTTCTGAGAGGCCATCCTCAGGCAGGAACCTCTGCACATTAACCCCCCCACCTCCCCAAGAGCCCTGTGTTTCCTACTTGACCTCATGAGGCCACATCAGGCTTTTACTCTGATGTTGCTTCAGGATCAGAGCACCAAAATGAGAACCATCACTCACATGGGAACCCGGGAGGAGCGAGTTCGGAGCTGGAAGGCAGAGGTGCTGAGGGGACGCGCGCCCTACAGACACGCTCTCGTGGACGGCCATCCTGACCTGCTGTCATCAAAACCGGCCCGAAGCACGGCGCTCTTCACGCACCCTCTGTGCAGGCCTCCCGTGGCCCGGCCCCGACACTCACATGCGAGCTCTCGGCCCGGCCCGAGTCCCCACAAGGTCCTCTGCTTTCCACGCACTGCTCGGTGTCCCACGCCACTCCGTGCTTTCTGGCCTCGGAGTATCTGCACATGCTGCTCCCTCTGCCTCGAATACAGTTTCCATTTTAGGTCCAGACTCATTTCTCAGGATACTGCCTCCTGAGGTGGCCTCTGAGTGAACTCTGTCCTTCCCTCCCGTGCCCTCTCTCAGGGCACTACTCACTTTCTCAAGGGCCGGAAGCTGGTCACTCCCGTCCCGTCAATCGTGAGTTCCCTGAGGGCAAGAACCAGGGCTCATTTCAGAAGTGCGGGAGGTACTCACAGATAACCACGCCCGTGTTAACACCAGGGAAACCAATGCGGGCAAACAAATTACAAACGGGTACGTGGAAGTCTCATCCTGGCGCAGTAAGAACATGGAAGGAAGAGGCCAGAACCAGACACGGGCAGGAGGACTGCCTGACCGCAGAGGCCCCTGACACTCTGGACTAAATAAACAGTAACAAAGCTAGCAAGGAGTGTGGCAAGCAAGAAGCCGCCCTCTGCCTGCAGCTACACCACCTGGTCCCACGCTGAAGTGTCACTGACAATGCAGCTTATGTGTCAGAGGAGAAATGAAAAACTGACCAGGGAAGACAAAAGGGTTCCCTACAGCCTGGACCTAAAAAGTCCTTCTACCTGCAGATCCACTTAGTACAACACCCATGGGCAGGTGTGTGGTCCCTAAGTGGGGGGGGGGGGAGGGCAGCTGGGGGAACAAGCATGACCCAGCATCAAGGTCGGGATGGAGATGAAATGTCACAGGCCTCTGAACAACAGGGCAGCACAGAGGTGGGCATGGCTTGTCCCCTTCCCCACGCACTCGCAGGCGGGGGTGGGGGGCTGGGGGGGCATGCAGGCCTGGGGCTCCACGTGACCCCGCCCCAGGACTCCCGAGCCTCTCCGGGCCTGAGGCCTTCCCCCAGCTCTAGGCTCCCTCCCACAGTGGGCTGTTTCCGGCTGGAAATGCGCAGGGGAGAACTCCGGTGCTGCCCCGCCCCGCCCGCTCCTCCCAGCCCTGCCCAGGGTCCTCTTCCTCCGCTCTCCTCCCTGCTGCCCCTCCACTGCTCAGGCCCCCAGCCTTGGTGCGCTGTCCCTCTGTCTCACCTACTCACCCATCTGCAGCTGCAAACTACACCCGCCCACCACCTCCTCCCCGCCACTGCCCTGACGGGCCCGTCACCCAGCGCCTGCACCCAGCGCCCACACCGCAATCCATCTGGACAAGCCTGCGGCTGCTGCCTCCTCCTCCCTCCGTCCGCTCCACGCAGCGGGGAGGCCTGGGCTGTCAGCCTGAACACATCCAGGGGCTTCTCGCCACACACGGAATCAGAGGCAAATCTCATTGTGGCCCGTAAAGCCGTCCGCAGGCCTCTGCCTCCATCTCGTCTCTTCCTGTGCCTCCTGCCCGTGGGCGGGTATGTGTATTCCACGTGCCAGGCCCCCTTCCCCTAGACCTTTCCACTGGCTGGAGAACTCCTACCTGAATGGAGGTTCTCATTTCCCCACATCCTTGCCCACGCTCATTATCGTAAGCACACCCTGCACTTCACCTTGGACCTGCACTTAACTTTTAGCGCACTGCGCTGGTGTTCCAAATGCAAGGTGCACGGCAACCCCACGTCAAGCAAGTGTGTTGGCACCATTTTTCCAACAGCATTTGTTTACTTCGTGTCTCTGTGTCACATTTTGGTAATTTTCACAGCGTCTCAAACTGTTTCATTATGACTGCACTTGTTGGGGTGACCTGTGATCAGTGACTGTGACTCACTGAAAGCGCACATGACAGTGTCTTTTAGCAGTATTTTTTAACGAAGGCATGTACACTGTCCTCTTACACGTGTGCTGCTGCACACATAACACCCCACACAGTGTACGCATGACTCCTGTATGCACTGGGAAGCCAACAGTCTCCTGACTCCCTTCCTTCTGGGGGGCCTGGAACTGAATCCACGGCGTCCCCGAGGTGTGCCTGTCTGTGCGTGGTCATCCTGGTGGGTGTGAGACGGTATCTCCTTAAGGTTTGGAGTTCCATTTCCCTGAGGACCAGCGATGTGCAGCTTTCCGTGTGCTCTTGGCCATCTGTAGGTCTTCCCTGGAGAAATGTCTGTTCAGATCCTCTGCTCACTTTTACTTACCATCTTGCTATTGGGTTCGAAGCACTCTTTCTACATTCTGGACGCAGGCCCTTTATCAGGTGTAGGATCTGCACTGATCTGCTCCCACTCCATGGGCAGTCTTTTCCCTCTTGAGCGTTACTGCCTTTGGAAGCAGCAGAAAAGGATTCCACTTTGACGAGGGCCCATCGGTTCAGCTTTTCCTTTTGCTGCTTATGCTTTTGGTGTCCTGTCCTTAGCACTCCTTCGTCAAACCTGGGGTCAGGAAGATTCGGCCCCAAAAGCTTTTAGGTCCCAGGTCTGGTTAGTATACTTTTGTATAAGTAACTTTTGTAGCAGGTGAGGGAAGTGTGGAGCTGCCCCGGTGCGTGTGGCTGTCCCCTTCTCCCGGCACCACCTGAAGGGACTGCTCCCGCCCCAGCGAGGAGTCTTCGCCGCAGGTTGAAAATCAGCTGGCCGCACGCACGAGGTTTTACTTCTGGACTCTCAGTTCGATCCCGCTGCTCCATACACCTGCCTCTATGTACCCTGTTTACTGCTGCTTTGTCGTGAGTTCTGAAGCTGGTAGCGTGACTCCTCTTACTGTGTTCCTGGCTATCTTGAGTCCCGTGCACTTTGCTCATGGATTTTAGAATCAACCTGTTAATTTCCCGGAGAAGTCAGCGGGACTCTGAGACACAATGCACTGAAACTGTAGATCGATTGGGGGTATACTGCCATTTTAATAACATTAATTCTTCTCATCCACGAATTTGGGATATTTTCCCATTTATCTGGGTCATCTTTGATTTCTTTCAACAATGTTTGATAATTTTCAAAGTAGAAGTTTTACACCGGGGTTGAATTTGCTCCCTAAGTACTTTATTCCTTTTGATGCTATAAGGGAAGTGTTGCCTCTTAAATTTCATTTTCAGGTGGTTCACTGAGAATATATAAAACTGAAATTGATTTTGGTATATTGATTCTTTATCCTGCAACCTTGACAAACCAATTTCCTACCTTTATTTTGGTGGATTTCTTAAAATTTTCTTCATACAAGATCAGGTAGCTGGTGAATAGAAGACACTTCCTTTCTAATCTAGGTTTTAATTTCACTTGCTATCTGAGCCAGCCTAATTGACATCCAGCATGACTCACACATGAACGTAAGATGTGCGGCTAGCGGGGCCCCTAGACGCTAGCTCACGGGATGCCCACGATAAACCACGGCCACATGGTACCACAAGGAAGTGCAGGCTCAGAGTTTAAATACATTGTCCAGGGTCACGGCTCAGGACCAAGGCCAGGTGGTGAAACCAGCCTATGACTCCACAAAGCCTGTGAGCCCTCCCATGACACTGCACTGCAGCCCATTTTTCCTCTTCCCTTGTAAACAGGAAGTAGATAAAGGTGGGAGACCGTATGCTAATTGTGTTCTTTTGGGGAAAAAACAACACGGGGTATTTAGATATCTGTTGTATAGGCAGGAATTTGTACATACAGTAAATTGTGTACATTTTTAACAAGAGCCAGTTCAGATACCATTACCCTTAGGGATTCCATGTAAGCAGGGAAGAGAGGACTCCCTAACGAGCTTCACCAAATGACCCTGAAGGAAAGGGTGGCCTGCAGAGCTGCGGGGACAGTGAGGCCAAGCCAGCAGAAGCAGGCAGGTGCCAGGCTGAAGGGGAACTGGCAGGAGAGGACTGGCCATAGGGCGTCTCAGGAAGACACCCCAGGACTGAGACAGGAGGGGGGAGTGTCTTAAGACACATGGAGGGCAATAAGCAAGGGCAGCACCAGTGGCAGCCTCACGCCCTCCTTCCCGCACCCGCAAAGGTAGGCATCAGCACCCCCATTTTAGAAATGGGGGAGCTGGTGCTCAGAAGGGCCAGCAGGTGCGGGAGCTGGGGTCACGATGCCTCAGAAGACACTCTTCACGGCATCCTCTGTCTAAGCAGGGTCAGAGGCTCAACTGGAGAGCTCTCCAATTTTAATATTTGGTGGGCTGATGACCCGTGATAACTTGTGATTAGAAAACAAGTGCTGATTTAAAATAAAAATGTAAGCTGTGAGCAACAGTGTTCTTTTACCTTGAACATTTATTTTCTATTGCTCAGAGGCATCTGTCCCTTTTGCATCAGGAAACACTTCCACAGCACCTGAAGGCGACGAGCTTTCAAATCACCTCCCCCCCCTCTCCCCTCCCTCTCCCCCCCCCACAAAGACTAGCTGAGCACTTCCCATGTGTCAGGCCCTGTTCTGGGTGCCAGTGTTAGAACAGTGAACAAAACACAGACATCGCTGTCCTTGTGGAGCCTACATTTGCGTACAAGAGGCAGATTCCGAGAGCACACGTGGCTGAAACAAACAGAAGCGCCAGGGAAGCATCCAGCAGGGAAGACGGGAAGTGCTGGGAGGCTTCGGTCCTCCGTCCCCCCTTCGCCACCCTCCTTCTTGGGGGGTTGGGGGGGTCGCAGCCTGTCTTGGGGATCGGTGCTGCCTGCACACCTGTCCCCTGACCTCTAGACTCGTAAACCCAGCTCCCGACTCAACATCTGTGCCGAGCACCTCGAAACCAACATGCCCCACATGGAGCTCCTGGTCACACGCATGTCCCACATCTCAGCGAAGGACAGCAAACCCCTCCCTCGTCAAAGCACCACAGACTTGCGGGACCCCTCCTCCCGCTCATGTCCCACGTACGGGAAGCAAACTCTGTGGCTCTACTTTCAGAGTGTACCCAGGACTCCGCCACTTTCCCCATCTCCCCTGCCACCACGTGTGCGGTGCTCCACGGGCACCTTGTTCTTGGGCGATGTGGCAGCCTCTTACCCGTCCCTACCTCTCTTCTTCAGCAGAGCAACCACCGGGGCCCTGCCCAAACACAACTGCGTGTGGCAGTGCTCCATGCAAGCGTCCCCACAGCTCCCCACCTCCTTCAGAGAACAGCCACAGTCCTCCCGGCACCCGCGAGGGGCGCTCAGTCAGCTGAGCGTCCGACTTCGGCTCAGGTCACAGTCTCATAGTTTGTGAGTTCGAGCCCCATGTCGGGCTCTGTGCTGACAGCTCAGAGCCTGGATCCTGGTTTAGGTTTTGTTTCTCCCTCTCTCTCTGCCCCTCCCCTGCTTGTGCTCTGTCTCTGTCTCTCTCAACAATAAACATTAAAAAAAATTAGAAAAAACACACTGTTACATTGGTGCCCGGGGTGCCCTGACTCAGCAGCCCTCTGCCCTCTCCCTGGCTCTCCAGCCTCCAGGCTGCTCACCCACAAGGAGGCCTCTGCAACCCGGCTTCCTCGGCCTGTGATGCTCCCGCCCAGGAGGCACAGGGCTTGCTCCCCACGGTCCCTGGGTCTTTGCGGGTATCTCAAGGTCTCTGACCTCTCATCCCTCCTATCGCCTGGCTCAGCAAGACCTTTTCACGTGAGGTCTGCCCTCAGCTGCAGCCAAGGACCCGGCCCGGCCCACTCCCGTCCGCCCAAACAACGGTCGTTGAAGGAATGACCGACTAGACGAGTATGCTGCGTCAGGCCCGAGTGCGCTTACACATGGTGTCCCTATGCACGGTCTCAGGCACGTCAGTCCATGGGTGATGCTGGGGTCTCCCTCTTAGGGACCAGTGGGGAGACAGGTGTGCGAAGCCCCTGGCCCATGGGCTCAAGGTGGCCTCCAGACAGACGGGCTCAGACCCAACAAAGAGTGACTTGGGTGCTGCCCTTTCCTCGGTTTCTTGTTCTCCTCACACCTAAAATAATGAGAGCACCACCTCAAAGTCCCAAGGAGACTCGACCCGTGGATGCCCCAGCCGGAACCCAGCTCAGTGAAGGGACTCACGAGACACGGTCTCCAAGCCCCACAGACATGGTTTCCAAGCATGGAAAGGCCCCATGGTGCTCATTCCTATGCTGTACTCTCAATTCCCTCTCTTGTAAAAGCAGGGAATAAACCAGATGGAGAGGCAGTACAGACCCGCACAGAAGTACTGCGTCCACCAATGGTGAGCTTTCAAGCCTCCCAGCCTCTGGGAGCCGGGCGGAAGGCTCATCTGGAACACAGGTCCAGAAGCCCATCCCAGAGGCCTGCTCCAAGGATGGCGGGGGCGCCCGGGAAGATTCAGGGCAGTGCCTAGTATCTGGGAGGCGTGTGTTGAGTGAGAGCTGCTGTGCCGATCCGGAAGAGGGGACGGAGGAAGACGCCCGGCCCCTGGATCACCGTTGCCCCGGGATTCACGCAGCAAAACACCATGCCTGCTACACCGGACATACCGCAAACCAGGCACGCGCTGTCCGCACACAGTGGCCAGGCAGGGTCAATGCTAACAGCATGCTGAGGCCACGAGACAGCGCAGCACGTGGGTGCCGGGACCCTGACACTGGTGCGCAAAACTCCCTGAGCAGAGAGTCTTCTGTTCCTCGTGGTTCTCAGCCTCCGTCCCCACCCGCGTGCTGCACGGCACCTTGGACCCCTTCCCTGCACCCTGCCGGCTCCCGGTGACTGGGGCGGCCCCTGGCGCTGCCCTGACAGTCGCAGCTCCAACTGGGACAGGGAAGAGGCTGCCCCTTCTGTGTGTCCTCTGCTTTACGCAAACACAAATGCCACAAGACGTCTGGGACCGTGTTCCTTCTCTGCTTTGTGGTTGTGCCAATGCCACCAAGAGACGTGGTCCATACCTGGGTGTTCCTCGGGGACGAGTTTTTCTTCAGAGTCTTGTGGAGGATCCTGGGACACTTTCTCGGAAGACACGGATTCCTTGGTCTTCGTCCTCGGTTCTGGCTCCAGCTTAGATCTAAATAAACAATCAACAATGATGTAAGTTGCTCCCCCAGCAAGAGTCCGTCCAGACAGCAGAGGCGCTCACACGTGTCCCTGCACACCTATTGTGTGCCCTCCGCCAGGGAGCAGAGCTGCTCCCCAGAGGCCGTCCCGACACCTCAGCGGACACTTCGTACAGGGTACCAGCGTCACTGCTGGCCCGGCGAGGACGGGCACGCCCGCCAAAGCCCACGCGGGGACAAGTGCAGTCAGCAGGCGAAGGAAAGAATGCACAAACCTGCCCACGACCGACACCACACTCAACACGTGCACGGCGAGAACGGACTGGTCAATCCAGGAAGCGGGCTGTTTCACACCAATGCAAAAGTGTTGCTAAATACATACACATACAGACTCGCGCACATGCGTTACGTGGTATGAGAAAGATGTTAGAAAAGTTAACTATAAAACATCCACTGGATGGAAGTGACTGGTCTCAGGAACCAAGGCCTCCGCACCTGGCACCTACCTCGGGGCCCCTCTTGTGGCTGCACGGCTTCCCACCTGGGGGCCGGGCTCCATCTCGCCCACTCGGAGGGGCCTTCTCTGACCCTGCGATCTCAGGCACCCCCACGTCACCCTGTGCCACAGTGCTTGTCCTCACAGCAGAGCTCCCTTGCTTCCCGCCCTGCCTCGCGCCCCAGGAGTGTGTGCTCTCAGAGCAGGGGCCTGGGCCGTAAGCTGTGCTGCTCCATAGCCCGAGGTCCCAGATGAGTGCCCGGGGTTCAGTGCTTTTGAAATACAGGTTATGGGCACCTGGGTGGCTTGGTTGGTTAGGCATCTGAGTTTGGCTCAGGTCATGATCTTGTGGTTCGTTGGTTTGAACCCCGCATTGGGGCTTTTATTACAGCCTCAGGGGTCACACCGTCATTTCTGTCCAACACCATGGCCCAGGCAGTGACAATGGTCCACTCCGGCTCAAGGAAAGGGAACACAGACCTCACACCTCCCTCTCAATGGAGCAGTGACAAAATCGACTTTAATAAGACCACATGGGATGGGATATGCTGGGACACAGCCATCTCTGGAAAACACATCTGCTATTCTAAGTGTCACAGACACACACAGAGACGTAGGTATCAGGACATGCATCATGGCACTTATCATAACAAAACAGTGGCTTAGAGTTCAACAAAAAGTGCCATGTTTACAGTGAGAAGATTCAGGGAGAAAAGACCCCATTTGCAATAGCCAAAACAACAGATAAACAACTAACAAAGACAATATCACAGCATAAACTTAACAAGAAAAGCCCAAAACCCATGTGTGAAAAACTAAAAGATGTTCTTCAGAGATATAAAAATGTCCTATAACAAATGGGAAGGTATCATGTTCTTGGAGAGGAAAAAGAAATATCACAAATATGTCAGTTCTCATGGAATTTAAGAAACAAAACGTATGAACATGGGTGATGGGAAAGAGAGAGACGAACCATAAAACAGACTCTCAACTATGGAGAACAAACGGCGGGTAGCTGGAGCGGAGGTGGGGGAGGATGGGGAGTGGGTTAAACAGGTGATGGGGATTAAGGAGCACACTTCTGATGAGCGCCAGATGTTATACGCAAGTGATGGATCACTAAATTCTACACCTGAAACCAATACTACACCGTATGTTAACTGGAATTTATTTGAGGGGGGGTGGGGAGACGGGGGGAGAGAAAGAAGAGAGAGAATCCCAAGCAGGCTCTGCGTTGTCGGTGCAGAACCCAACGCGGGGCTAGATAACTAACTGGAATTTAAGTAAAAACTTGAAACAACCACAAATGAATCAATAACAAATAAATTTATTTTAGCCATTAAAAAAAAGATGTCAGTTCCTCCTAAATCAATTTATAAATGTAAGCAGACTGATCCCAATAAAAATATCGGCAGGTTCCCCTCCCTGATCCTGAAGCCAGACCAGATCACCTGTGAAAGTCACTTGGAAACATGCAAGGATGTCAGGACCAACTGTAAACGAATACCGAACTGCACGCAGCGGCAGAGCCGCTGGAGAAATGACATGCGCGCATGCTCGCACCTCACTCTGAAACTCGTAAACCAGGTAGGAGGACTAGGAGCCATGTGGAAGGTCAGGTGAGCAAAAAGAGCACGTGCAGTAAACGGTACACGGTAAGATTCATGTGGCGGGTGTAGGTGGTATTCACTGTAAACTCAACCGTGCTAAAGACCTGAGAGTGTTTCTAAGACAATGTGCCCAGGAAAACCCGACACGAGAGAGGGCAGCGTCAGGGCAGGGAAAGGCTGACAGAAGACGCAGAAAGAGACTCGAGTGTACGCGGACATTTAGCACACAATGCAGGCTTAGGGAGGGGCAGAAAGATCCAAGTTCCCTCACTTTGCAAGTCCACACAAATGATAGACGTATTAACCAATCGTCCACGAGAGAGAAGCACATGGGTGAATGCTTCTCTAAGCTGGGTGGAGAAAAACTTCACTATAACTCAAAATCCAGAAGCACGAAGGGAAAAATTGCTGAATTTAACGACATAAGAATTTTTTAATGTATCTTTTTTGCTGGGGAAACACACAGGAGACTCCCCTGTACCTTCGGCTCAATTTTGCTATGAACCTAAAACTGCTCCACTATTAAAAAACCAAAAAACTGACATGTTAAAAAAAAAAAAAAGGAAAAAGAAAACAACTCAAATACATTAGGCAAGAAACACAGAAGTAAATGGCTGTTGAACACATGAAAAGATGCTTGATCTCACTCAAAAGAAGATAATGCGTGCCGCGCCTGGGTGGCTCCATTGGTTACGTGTCTGACTCTTGATTTTGGCTCAGATCATGATCTCGTGCTTGTGGATCAAGCCACGAGCTAGGCTCTGTGCTGAGTGTGGAGTCTGCTTAAGATTCATTCTCTCTCTCTCTCTCTCTCTCTCTCTCTCCCTCTCTTCCTCTGTCCCTCCCCCATTCACATGCACACTCTCTCAAAAAATGTATTAAATATATTAAACTTTAAAATTAAAATACAACATTAAAATATATTTAAAACTTTTTTTTTAAATGTTTTATTTATTTCTAGGAGAGAGAGAGAGAGACAGCATGAGCAGGGGAGGGTCAGAGAGAGAGGGAGTCACAGACTGAAACAGGCTCCAGGCTCTGAGCTGGCAGTCAGCACAGAGCCCGACGCGGGGCTCGAACCCATGAACCTTGAGATCATGACCTAAGCAAAAGTCGGACGCTTAACCGACTAAGCCACCCAGGCACCCCTATTTAAAACATTTTTAAAAATGGTAATGCGTATTTTAAAATACCATCAAGACATCATTTCTTGCTTTGGAAGAATGGCAAAAATTCAGACTAGCACGTTGGTCAGTTTGTGGAAAAGCAGACACTTTCATACATTGATGAATATGAATGCCTAATGGTGTTAAGTTCCACGGAGGGAAATGTAACATCTAGCAATATTACGGATCAGGGCGCCTGTGCAGCTCAGTCAGGTGAGTGTCTGCCTTCAGCTCAGGTCATGATCTTGCAGTTCATGAGTTCGAGCCCTACATGGGCTCGCTGCTATCCGCACAGGGCCCACTTCCAATCCTCTGTCCCAGTCTGTCTCTGCCCCTCCCCTGCTCACACTCTCTCTCAAAACTAAATAAAACATTTTTTTTTTAAATTACACACCTCTTACTCTCTAATGCAACAATCTTACTTCTGTGAATCTATCCCAAAGATACAGCAACAATATGAAAAGATTTGTAAAGGCCATTCACTGTAACAATATGTAATTCAATTATAAGACAGTCAAAGCCTGGAAAGAATCCGTGTGCCCATCGCTGTGGCACCGGCTGTATAAACTCGGGGGAACCACACGGCTGTGGAAAGGCGTCCCGGAAACGTGCGCACACACCACTGGAGAACAAAGCAAGCAAGAGAAAGAACAGTGCGTGCAGAAGAGACGGTCCTCCTCCGTCTGCTAAGATGCTGACAAAAAACCAACTGCTCACGTCACATTTGTTGTGAAAGACTCAATGTTTCTCTCTACAATGAGGAGAAAGGTCAGGATACAGCAGACCCGAACACAGTGGAGAGAGAACAATTACAAATTTTATGAGTTTCTGGTATGGAAACCTAGCAAAGACACAACAAGAAAGGAAAACTAGACAAATGTCTTCACGAACATAAATATAAATCTTAACAAAATATAAACAAATGAATTTAATAATATAAAAACACAATAATGCATCGTGACCAAGGGGGGTTTATCCCAGGAATGCAAAGTTGGTTTCACATTTTTAAATCAATCAATATAATACACTACATTAAAAGAAGAAAACCACATTACCATCTCATTAAATGCAGGAAAAGCATTTGAAAAATCAAGATCCTTTCACAATAAAAACTTTTCGCCAACTAGGACTAGAAGGTGTGCAGGAAAAGATGGACTCAGCAGCTTTGGGGAGTCCCAACTCTGCCCATTACAAAGAAACTGGCTCTGGACCAGTTCCTGGAAGCAAACCGCCCTGCTCCCGGAATATCCCACCTGACAAAGAGAGTTACCGTCTACCCGGAGCCTTGGACCACACCAGAGAGTTCACGCTAACAACCTGAGCTATGACGGGGGTCTTGGACCAGACTGTGCAGATCTGGCCTCTGGAGGGACTGGAGACGGAGTAACTAAGGTCGGCTATTTGGGTGTTTCGTGCCTCCGTGACTGACTCCCAGGGAAAACCCTGCAGCCAAGCTCCAGTGAGCTTCCCCAGCTGACAGTACTCTGTACGTGCCGTCAGACACCACACATCCCCACTGCCAGGAGAGTTAGGTGCGGTCGGAAGCGTTTCACTGGGAGAGGACGACCGGAAGCTTGCATCTAGGTTTCTCCGGGACTCTGTCTTACCTGCCTTTTATTCAGCCTTGCTGCTTTTCATCTGTCTGCTTTAACCATGAGTACAGCAGCATTTCTTTCTTTTCTTTTCTTTTTTTTACAAATAGTTTGTCAAATTGGTTTCCATATAACACCCAGTGCTCATCCCCACGAGTACAGCAGCACTTCTAGGAGTCCTTCTAGCAAATCACTGAACCAGAGGGTAGTCTTGGGAACCCTTGACAAAGAAGGGAATTTCCTTCACCTGACAAACACAGCTACAGAACACCGACAGCTAACATCGTACTAAATCCTTGCCCCTTAAACAGACAAGGCAAGGATGTCCATTCTCACAAACTGAGATCATGATCTGAGCCAAAATCAGGAGTCGGACGCTTAACCGACTGAGCCCCCCAGGAGCCCCCCAGTTCCGACTACTTCTGTTCAACGTGGTAGTGTACTTTCTACTGGTTTATATGGAAATGCTTAGCACACTGTACAGCATATACTAACAGCTGAGCAAACTGGCTATTCCTACTATGATAACTACCATTGCTACTGCTATTATGACCGTGTAGTAAGAAAAGGCAGAGTGGTTTCATAAAGACAACTTCTTGTGAAATCCTAAAGCTATATATATTTTTTATTCTAACAAGGTGCAGACCAATGGAGACAGAAGAAACCAGCTGACACAATCCATCAACAATTTTAAAACTTCAGGGGGAGGGGCCACACTGCTGCAATCTGCACGAGGGGCCCAGAGTGGTCTTCCGACTGCTGGCCCAGCTAGGCTGGTCTTTGAGGTCAGTTGGTGTTATGCAGGAATGGGGAATGATTAAGGAGTCTTGACAGATGTGCAGGGGAGAGGGCAGGGGGTGGGAGCCACATGCTGCCTGAGAGATGGGCGGCCTTCTCCTCGGCCATTTGCTCAGCGGCACCAACCTGCCGCCCTTCTAAGCAGATCCTCTAGGCTGACACAGTCCACAGATCTCATGATGGTCAGAGACACGATCCTTACCACCGTCTGGCTGACCAAGAAAGATACCTTTAGAAATGGGGTTTGGAGATGAGAGTAAGCTTGAATTCCAGCCTGCCACTTACCTGCAGTGTGACTGTTTCCCCGCCCCCCCTCCCCCAATCCTCTTTTGCTCATCTGCAAGATGGAGAAGACAGCACCTTCTCAAACTGTTCTTGCTGGGGCGCCTGGGGGCTCCATCAGTTAAGCGTCCGACTTCGGCTCAGGTCATGATCTCACAGTTCATGGGTTCGAGCCCCGTGTCGGGCTCTGTGCTGACAGCTCAGAGCCTGGAGCCTGCTTCGGATTCTGTGTCTCCCTCTCCCCCACTCGTGCTCTCGGTCTCAAAAATAAATAAAACAAACAAAAATTTAGAAAAAAAAAAACAAAAAACAAAAACTGTCCTGCGAAGACTGAGCGAGATCACCCGCGAGGCCGTACCCAGCAGGGAGGCAGGCGCACAGTTCATACTCTCCTGGCTGGTCTAAGCGCAGGGCCGCAGCTGCCCTGGCTTTCAGTAGCTTTCGTTCTTAAACAGACTTCTTTTCTGGTTTTCCCCTCTTCACATCTGTGACCGCGAGAATCCTGGCTTCCAGAAGCCTTCCAGTAATATCGCAACTCAAAGCTGTTGCAAAGACTAAATGAAAAAAGTACTGTGTAAAATGTAAGTACTTTACAAATTCTTTCTACTGCTGATTCCGAGTGTAGAAGTCATTGGGGGCTTCACAGGGCGGCCACATGGGCGCACTCTTGAGACAAGGGGGACACGGTGTCAAGCATGGAAGGGCAGAAAAGGTATGGCAGGCCCAGGGAAGCCGGCGGCGGGACCTCCAGGTCACAGGACGTTCCTGTGCTCTGGAGAATTATTTGGCTATTTTAACAGAGAATTCTTTTGCACTTCCACAGGTCAGGGGTGAGAGTTCCAGCTGCTGCACACACCCCCAACACCTGTCACTTGTATTTTAGCCATAATAAACATGACATGGTGTCTTATGGGCTTTTATTTTGTTGTGAAACAATCACATGCAGAAAAATCTTGAGCACAAAGAACCTTTCTCCTGAACCATCAGATAGTAAGTTGCCAACCTGATGCCCTTTCCCCCAGAGTACTTTAGGATTTCCTGACAAAAAGAGCATTCTTTGATACTACCAGAAAACAACCATCAAAATCAGGACTTTCACGTCGACACACTGCTTCCAGCCCTTCCCTGGGCCCCGTTCTAACTGGACTTGCTGTCTCGCAGACATCCTTTACAAGGAAAGGATCCAGTTCGGAATCACACGGTGCATCTAGTGGTGATTTTTCACCAGGCTCCTCTGGTTTAAACAGTTCTTCAGTCTCTCCCTGAGTTTCATGACCTTGAGACACAATAATGTGCCAGTTATCCTCTAAGAAATGCCTCAGCTTGCGTCTGTCTCGTGTTCCCCACGGCTGGACACGGATTACGCATCTTTGGCGTGAAGTGGTGACACTCAATCTAAGTTCTTCCCAGTGTCCCCAAAAGGCTGTCCGAGATTTCCCTTCCATCACTTGGTAAGAGTGGTGCCTGCCAGGCTTCCCCAGTGCGAAGTTACTCTTCCTCCCTTTGTAACTCTAAGTGCTGGGGGAAGGAGTGCTTTGATGCGATGTGATGATCACTGTCAAACCTTCAATGTACTCACTTGCCGATTCCTATCCCGATGGACGCGTGACGTCCCATTTTATTCAGTGGGTTATCATCTGCTACTATCATTTAGCTGATGCTCAAACTGTCCCTCATTTGGCCGGGGAAGCCCCTTCCAACTGTCCTTTGGCCACGTCCCCATCATCCTCCTCGCCCTTCCTTGCCGCCTGCTATGACAAACATTCCAGGCCCACGTGCATCCCGACACGTACACACTCATTTACAATCATACTTATTTCTGCATCTATCTACACAAACTGCAAACCATGAGTCCACACCAGTACCTTTCATTCCAACCTAACACCACAGGGTTCATTCTGGCTTTTCCCCTTGCACTTCCCTGAACGTGCGAAACCTGGATTCCATCACTCTCCTGTATTAACTTATTTGACCAATCCAACCACCATCATCTCCACTGCCATTCTTCACCTGCATGGGCGCCCCCCCCCCGCTCAGGACCTGACCTGCTCTGGGAAGCTGTGGCCCCCACCACTGCACCCGCCCACCTGACTCTGCCCCACCCCAGGGCGGAGGGACAGACTGTTTAGGAAGAAGGGCTTAAGTAACTTTTAAATAAAGGGCTCTGGTAATGTCTGTAATCCTTTGTGTTGAGAGCATGCTAATGTGCCAGTTTTCAATTTAAAATGGATAAAAGATTACAATGCAGTAGAAAAAGCTGAGAGCTTTTTTTTTTTTAAACAGTGATTAAAAACAGATCTCATTATACACAGAATGTCTATTGTAATCCTCAGGGAAATTACAAATTACCTAGTTGAAGGCACTTTGAAAAAGGCAATTTTTAAAAAGTCATCAGAATGATCAGTTTATACCCCATGAGTTATTGAAATTGATTTCTCTAACTGAAGGCTGCGCATTTCCTAACTGCAATCAACACAGTTTCCACCTGGCCAACATCTGTTTCCAGGTCACTTATTTGAAAATCTTGGGATTCTATTTAAAATCTGAGAAAAACAGGGGCCCCTGTGTGGCTTAGTCATTTGAGCATCTGACTCTTGATTTCAGCTCATGCCATGAACCCAGGGTCATTGGATGGAGCCCTGCGTCGGGCTCCACGCTGAGACTACTTGATATTCCTTGTCTCTGTCTCTCTCCCTCCCTCCCTCCCTCTGCAGCCCCTACCCCCACTCACACTCTCTCTCTCAAAAAAAAAAAAAAAAAAAATTAAGAAGAGCAGAAACAGGGAGAGAAACAGATCTTTCAGTTTTGAAACAAGAACACACGTGGAACAAATTCTTCGCCTCATACAAAAGTTAGAGAAAAGCGATTCATATTCCAGAGTTAAGTATGGCTCTTCTACTTCTTTTCTGCCCCTGACAAAGGCTCTAGGTAGAAAAAATATATTTTTGGTATGGGACCATCACTTCAAACGTGACTTTCAGACTAGGGCATCTACTCGGGCACGGGCACTGTGCACTCCCACAGCAGGAAGACCTCACGCCACCTTGAGGAAGCCGTCTCCACACGCACACAGATGCTCACAGGGCATTGAGCCAGCGCCGCACAGAGCGTGGTCCGCACACCAATACCAGGCCCCGAGCTGTCTGTTACTGGTCTGTGATAAGCCATGGACCCAAACACAGAATAAACGTATAGAAACATCTACAGCAATCTGACCTTGCCGTCTCATCAGAAACACATGCTGCTGGCCAGGGTACACAGATCAGTTCAGCTCAAACTCTGGAGGGAGGGTTGCCTGAGGCCCAGGCTGTGACCCTGACCTGCACTGTGGAGTACACCTCGATGCACGACGGACGGCAAGGAACAGACGACGACGACGAAGTGGTCCTTCGCCTCAGAAAGCCTGTTGTAAGCCAGGGGTCGGCATGCTTTTTCTGTAAAGGGCCAGATGGTAAGTATTTTAGGCTCTGTGGAACGTACATGATCTCTATCTCGTATTCGTTTTTTCCTTTTGCTGTACAGTTGCTAGGGGAATGGAAGAAACAAGTCACATTTAACAAGGGTGCTATCCTTCTAAGAAAACAGGCATAGACAGGGAACTGCAGAAAGGTCAGCTGAGACTACTTCTGGCTCAATGAGCAAACATTTCATCCAAATAAGCGCCCTTTGATAGGAGACGTTAGTGTGGTAGCTCCATCGTATGAAAAAAATACCAGCATAGAGTATCTTTTATCCCACAATGTGACAGATTGAAAATAGACAGTTCCTTAACTGACAAATGTGTTTCACTTTTGCCAAGAACAAAAGAAACACAATAGTAGCAACACTGCCATAAGACACGAGCACTTGGGTTTTTCAAATCTGTCTTATGAGAATGATTTTTATCAATAACCATCACCAATCAAAACAAAATAATACAAAAGCAAAGAACCCACAAGCCCGACCTGACAATAAGAACCCTCGCAGTCAGCTTCTCTTCAGGCACCCTGCCCCTCACTCACCGCAGAGCCCCTAGTGAGCGGCCCCCCAGCCAGGATGGCATCACACTGCATAACGGGCCCTGGTGGCCCAACAGCTCTCGGAGAGCATATGTGTTACACTGACCATGACAGTGTGTGAGCAGGGGACCCACACAGAAAGGAGCCACCGGCACGGCCTGTGGGAGCCAGGAAGTCTTCTAGAGCAAGCGACATCCTAACGGGCTGGAAGGTGACATGGGAGTTTGCTTGCCAGAGGAATGGCGGGAAGAGGGGCAGAAACTGTAGGTCACGGGAAGGGCATCTGGGCAGAGGAAATCAACAAGGATTACGGCACGAGGGTTTCAGAGAACAAGGCCTCTTCGGAACACAAAGGGAGTCACATATGGTCAGAGCAGAAATCCACAGGGAGCAACTAAGAGGCAAAGCCTCCCGTCCGATCATGGGCCTCGAACGCCATGCTACAAAGCTCAGCTTTGTAAGACCCGGGAAGCAACGAGTGGTAAAATTATCTGCATGTTTTAGGCAGATGTCTTCTGGGACAAGGGGAGGAAAAGAACTAGAAGGAGGCTGGACTATATCATGAGGATCACAGTGTTATTTCCCGCAAGGTCTTTTGCTCAAAGTAATTGGTACAGGGCAGCTCTCTGGCAGGAGATGAGGCTGTACTTGACCGTGGAAATGAGAACAACTCCCATCTGACTGATGTTAATTTGTCAAAACTTCTGCTGAGAACCAAGAACTGAGGCGGTGGCAACAAAAGCCCGTTCTCGCTTTACTCAGGGTGCCTGTTCTGTCTCCGGGGCCAGGGTACGTGTGGGTAGGGTGGCAGACACGGCACCCCGCCGGCCGGAGGGTGGGGGTCAGAGTGACTGCTACCCCGTGTGGATGGCAAGTCACCCATGGCCAGAGCCCACCCTTCTCCCTCAGGGCCGGCTCTGGGCACCCTCCTCCGACGCTCCCCCCCAAGCCTGCACTACCGGCTTCCTGTGCCATCACCTTCTGGGATCCAACACAAAGCCTGGTATCTGAGAAATCGGCTGCGCGACCCTGGCGTTCAAACCTGGCTTCAGCTGTGGGACGCAGGGCTAGTGAGCCAGGTTCCCGGGGCGTCCGTCTCCTCTGTAAAACCAGACGCTAACGCTCATTAACAGTGAAACAGACTGACATGCTGCTAGACAAACGCTTCATCGTAGGTGGCGGTCCGACCGAATGCAGGAGAAGGCTCCCCACAGGTGCTGGCCGTACGGACACCAATGCGATTTGTTCTCACAGCCCAACAACCTAGCTACTGTGAATTTCTCCACTTTACGAGTGAGGAGACAAAGGCGTGGAGAAGTCAAGCAATCGTCCCAGAGTCACAGAGCTGACGAGTGGGGGAGGAGGGGGGTGGGAGCACAAGCTGTCTGGTTGGTGAATCTGAGCCCTGAGGCACGATGCCGTGCTCCTCGACAGCACCGTTCCCCCTCTGAACTGGCCCATTAGTTATGAGATCCTGATTCCATCAGCTAAGTTTTCACGTTTCCATAGCAACCCAGCCTGACTCAGTTCCTCGAGGCAGAGACCATCTCCTGCCCTCTCCTCTCCTGGCCTAGCCTCGCTGCCTGCTGGGATAAAAAAGTACTTCTTTGCTGACATAACATGGTAATGAGTCCACGCAGAGCCCCCCACAAGTGCTGCCACTTGTTGGTATTTGCAATTCAAATCTGTCTCACCAGCCTGCAGCCGGGTGTCCAACCCGGCCCGAGACCGCTCTCTCCGGAGAGGCTTGTGCGCAGGCTCAGCCTGGGGCATCTGGGACTGGGGTGTCGGGGAGGGGGGGCTCCCACAACCCTCACTGCTGAGACAAGCTCCCTGTGCCTGAACCATCGCGCAAACGGCGTGGTGTGAGCGGAGCACTGGCTTTCCTTCTGGGGGCTGGGATTTCAGTACATGCCTTGTAGAAGGTGCCTTGTGACCCAGCAAAGCCCTGGCCAGGGAGCGTCCCCAGTGGACATGTCACACGCCTCGTGTGACTCCCCTGGAGGGGCTCTTAGGGGCCCACTCCTGCTCCTCTGCCCTTGGCCTGGGTGCCCCTCCTTCGTCGTCTGCCCCGCGCCCTGCCGCCGCAGCAGACCCGGGTCCCGCAGGCCTTGCTGCGCGCCACCGCTCCGGGGCTGCTGCATGGGGTCTCGGCCCATCAGAATTAAGAAAAGGTGCCCCCAAAGAGTACGTAGTGTCACCTTCTGGAAGAACACTCTCCAATCTTTTCAAGGCCAGTTAGAAGAGGTCAAGAGCCGACTCCTGCACCCAGCTCCTCGCTCATTTAAGACCTGTGTCTCAGGCTGGGCAGCCGCAAGGGAAGGGGCTTCGAGTCCCTGTGCTCTAGGAGCCGGCATGCACCCCTCCAGGGAGGACGGGCCAGGGGACAGACACGTGCCATGGGAGACACTGACGTCTGGCTCTGCTGCTTCCGGGCCATGTGGCCTTGGGCAAGTCATCTAACCTGCTGGTGCTTTAATGTCCTCACCTGCAAAAGGGGGCTTGTAAGAGCGCCCAGCACCGAGTGAGTGCCCTGCTGGAAGGGAGGTGTGCGCCGCAGGTGGCCTGGGGAAGGCCTCGCTTGCTGCCGAGAAAGAGGGGAGATGGCTAAACTGTGCCAGCCCCCCAGGGTGATGGATACTCGAAGGGCGTGAGCATGAACTCTGAACCCGCACACAGCTGGGCTCACACCGTGGCTCAGCCACCTCCTCAGCTCTCCCGGCACCAGGCTCCCCACCTGGAGAAGGAGGTAACGACAGGACTTGCCCTACAAGGCAGCTGCGAGCTCACAAAGAAGCTGGTACTGAGCCTTGCACACGGTCAGGGCTCAGTGAGGACCGGCTACGGCGTCCGGCACAGAAACCCAAGCACTGTCCGCTGTAAGGCAGCAGGACCTCAGAGACGTCCGTGGCCATTATCACTACTATTGATTAAGGAACAGCGACACAGACGATACTCACAGTCTTTTCTTATCCACCACTCGTTTAACCCGGATGGCTCTTTGTTCCGAGTAAAGTTTACATACTCCTGTTGTGGGGAAAACACCAGAACAGAGACCATTTAAAACCACTTCTCAGGCAAAGGTGTCCTTAACTATAATGAGACGCTGCAGTCTGCAGCTAGCAAAGCTACACTTTGCACCGCATCTATTGTGAAATGCCACATTTGACTTTCAAGGTAAAACGAAATACTTTTTAGGTAATCTTCAATGAAATCCAAAACAGCGCTTCGGTGCTCCTTCACTTGCTGGGAGTGGATCTCCCTGTGGGCTGGAACAGAAAAGGACAACAGTCAGGTCTCTGCACTCAATTACACTGAAAAACAACAGTTCATCAGCTTCCTCAGGGCAGTTTCTCTATTGAAAGTATTTTTCAAAATACAGCAATAAAAAAAGCCTCATGTCAAGCGACATTACAGTTTTAAAAGAGTAAGATTTACTGGGCTTCGCAAGAGTAAAAGATTAAACCCGTAGAAAAACTGCAAAGAATTTACGGTTTATGGCAGCGCGCAGGGACCGGACTTGAGGCGGCTCACTTCGTGAGAGACGACCGACCCCACGTGTATTAACAGCATCCACTGCTCAAGCTGACCTTCAAGTAACACAGTTAAATCAAACTCAAGCCACACACCACCCAGGCCTGTCGGGGCTGTTTTCCAGCTTGGAATGCTCCATCCTCGCCTCAGCCATTCATGTTCCAAGCACCCCTCAGACACGGAGTTAAACCTTCCTCCCCAAGGAAGCCTTCCTGGACTGTCTTAGCCAGAGGATGCTGTCTGCAACTATCACGCCGTCTTCAAATCCATGCCGTCCATGCGGGCAGGACAGCTCGCGTTCGCCGAGAGCCCGAGTGCCCATGTCAGGCAGGCCCCTGACGGCACTCTGCTAGTCCAACAGGCAACTCGATGTCTATTTTACACATAGAAACTGATACGGTTCAGTCAACAGGAAGTCTAAGCTCACACGGTTTGGTATGTAATTGCTGGTTTTATTCATAATCATGTATTTTCTAGGTCATTTCAAATGAATGTACAGGCCCTCAAGGGGAGAGGACACGGATCCCCTTTTCAGTACAGGGCTGCGTAACCTGAGATTCCCCCGAGGGATAGAGTGGATCCACGAGGCTGTGTATACATGGATCTCTCTGGCAAGAATGTCCACAGCTTTCATCAGACTCCGAGTGGCCCATCAGGGCTGTGACAGAAGCTTCCCAAATATAAGTCAGTGTCAAGAACACAGTGGTATCTGCCCACTCTGAACTCTGTGCTACTTAGTGCAATCGGTATCTGTCTAAGCACATTAAAAAAGAATCCAGGAAGATATATGACTTGGGAAGCTACCTCACTGCCTCAACAAAAGTGAAACATCAGTGGAAGTGACTGACTAGAAACCCAAGTGCCAACTATGGCTCTAAGCATGTGCTGAGTTCAACAGAATTCTCGTAACAACCTGAAGAGATACATGCTGGCACTGTCTCCATTTTATAGACGAAGAAACTGAGGCCCAAGGCGGTTAAGTGACTTGCCAAAGCCATGTGGGCAGAAAGTGGGGGGTTGGGGGGTGCACATCAGCCCCTAGGGCCCCACAGCCTCCCGTCAGCACGACACTTGGATCCCGAAGTCTCAACTACAGCCAGAGCGCTGTGATGACGCTCTTCCGTCCTCACCCACACGCCTGGAGCACGGCCCCCTAAACGCCACACACAACACAGGCGCATGCACCTTAGGAAACGTCTGGTTGTGTGTGGAGAGGCTCTGCCTACCCCTCCCTGACCCGTGTAACCCCAACTACGGCCTCTTCCGTACTTTTAACAGCTTAGGTTAACACACTGACCGAGAAAGAAGAATTTTAGAGTTTCCAAACCTAGATTTGAGCAGGGACACAAGAGAGAACATCAGCCAGTGTGCATACGAGCCTTGTGCAGTCAGAGGCGTGCCAGGGGCTCGGATGCCTCACCTTGCGTTCGCAGCTGCTGAATCGCCTCGGAGCAGGTCCTCATGAACGTCTGGGCGTCCTGGTCGATCTGGTCTCGCTCCGGGTCTGTCATCCTCCCATACCCAGTCATGATATGGCTAAAAAAGAGGGAAAAAAGGTGTGGGGGGGGGGGGGGCACGCAAAATGTTAAAGCAGCAGCAAATGCCCACAAATGCCGCATGGATGGGGCGGGAAGGGAAGACGTGCCGTTTACGCCGAGACTGGATGGGGAAAGAGGAACGGGCCAGGCTGTGAGGTGGGAGAAGGTGCTAAGAGTGAGACCAAGCCAAACGACGGCCGTTAGGGAGGAAAAGCTTCCTGCAGAGGCCGGGGCGAGGCGAGCAGGGACAGGGGTGGGGCTGGGCACCCAGGCCTCAGCAGGGACGTGGGCTCAGATGAAGGACAACGGGGCGGCCACTGAAGGCCTGGCCGTCACACAAGGGCAAAGCCAGAAACGCATTCGGAGCGCGCCCCCGGTGCTGCACCGTGGAGGCCCTGAGGCGCGTGTGAAAAGCTGTGTCAGGCGGCCTTTCTTCTGTGGTGACAAGCAGTCTTATAAGCTCACAATAAAAGACCTTTGGAAAACATTTCACTCCCGCCGAGACTAAGTTAAAAAACTCAACCGTTACTGAGCTAGCGAGGGTGCTCGCCTGCGACCAGGCAGCACCCTGAGGCTCGAAATGCCGTGAAGGACAGTGCCTTGCTCACCTTCCTAAGAGCTGGGCGGGCGTGGCGGCGTTGCTATAACACTGCAATTAAACACCGGACATTACAACTGAATTCAGAATCACCAACTATCAGGTGGAAAGGGACCTTGGATAATGCACAGAGTCCACTCACTCCATTCCCACCCCCTGGCCCAGCAGCCGCGCATCCCCACCGCCCCGCCCCACACGTGACCCACTTCCTGACACTCGCCCTCCTGCCCTGCACCCCAGCGTCCCTGGCTGCTTTGCTGCCCCCAGTCGACCACGCCCACTCCCGCAAGGTCTCCCCGCAGATGCCCTTCCCACAGCCGTCCACATGCTCCCTCCTCACTGGGACCTCCGATCACAGCCGGCTTGGCTGACCATCCCCTGCGCTCACCCCCAGCACTGGCCACCGTCGTTGATTCTTAGTGCCTGTGCTGGTTATTACGTTGCTGTCTCTGAGCTGCAAAGTCACCTTCTACTCGGCTCTGTGACACGGGCTGGGCCACTCCAGGCGGCACTGCTGCTCCGCTACCCCCTAGTCCTCGCCCGGCTTCATCTCCCTTACAGCACTTACTACTCCCTGAGGCGGTAATGTCCATCTCCTGCCAGGAGAACGTAGCTTCGTGAAAGCAGGGACTTGACCTTTTTCCTTTCTGTTTCCCCAAGACCTGAAATGGCATCCAGCACATAGTAGGTGTGCTAACATTAGCTGAACACTTAGCTTGCATCAGACACTACTCTCAATGCCTCAATGCCAATTATTTTATATACTTCTTTAATCCTTGCGATTCACCCATTCATTCGCTTTTATACTAACCCCCGTATGCCAGCACTGCAGCAGGGGTCGGGGTCCAAAGCTGAAGAAGGCTTATTTCTGATCTCTGCACAGAGCAGGCACCAGACCACAGGAGGAGATTGACGCGGAACAGGGGGCACAAGGAACTGCAGTGGATGGTGCTGGCCTGTGAGCGGACAGTGGGACCCAGGGGAGAGGGGTCACTTTGTGCAGGGTGGTCCCAGGCGGCAGAACAGGAGGGACCTGCTACAAATCCCCAGCCTGCGGGTCAGGGTCAGAATAGCCACACGACAGAAGGTGTACGTGAGGGTAACCGGAGTGTGAGGGGAAAACAGGAGCACACCGGGAGGTCCCCAAAAACAGCTTCCACGCTGTGCGCTCTCAGGGCCTCGGGTCACCGCAGGGGCAGCAAACCACATGCACGCAGTCGGTATCTCCCCAGTGACTGTAGGACATGTATCAACCCTATTTCTCAAAGGGACATGGGTGGTACTACGATAAATACACATTTACCTAAAATTGTCCTGAACCTGCAGCAGCTATTTCTCCAGCATCAACAGGTTTCCCCCACAATACAACTGTCACCAAATACTCTGCTTGCAGCTGGAGACGATCCTGGAGATAGAGGGCGGGGCTGCTGGTGCAGCCACTGGGGGATGGGGGTCGTTTTTTTTTTTTTATTCTAGAGACAGAAAGCATGCAAGCAGAGGATGGGACAGAAGAGAGAGAGCAAGAGAGAGAGAGAGCAAGAGAGTGCACACACAAGCAGGGGACGGGAGTAGAGAGAGAGAGGGAGAATTTTAGGCAGGCTCCATGCTCAGCACAGAGCCCGACACGGGGCTCAACCCCATGACCCTGGGATCATGACCTGAGCCAGGATCAGGAATTAGATGCTCAACCAGCTGAGCCACCCAGGCACCCCAGGAGGATGTTAAACAGAGGAATCTGCATTTTGCGTGGGGCCCTCTGTGGTGGCCGGCCTGGAGGCAGATGAAAGCATAACTGGGTGGCCTGGTCACCATTAAGGGAAGAGATGAAGAGACCCTGGGCGGAGGCACCAGTGGGGAGGAGGCACAGAAGGTCCGAGAAAGACTGAATAGGTCGAGGACTGGCTGGATGTGCAGGGAAATGCGGAGAAGCCCAGGGCACACAGCACAGCGGGTGGGCGGGGGGGGGGGATGACAGATGCTCAGGTGGCATGTGGAGTTTAGGACATGACTGATGACAACATGGGGCAACTTGCAAGAAAGTTCAAGCTCTTATTTTTCTGTGATATTTTACAAACAGCACCAGCTCTATAATGGGCATTTGAAACATATTCATCAGAAGTAATGAAGGCTTGCTGGTGACATAGCTCCACATTAAGTATCACAATAACAAAATTATTACTATTTTGAAAAGGTTAACTATCTGGCAAATAAATTCCAAAAAATAATATATTCTCATAGGACATGTATACAGAAATTCATCAAACTAATTTTATTTACTTCCTTTATGAGGTACTGAGGGGTAATTTTATTACAGACCTCAATTTACCAAGATGTTACATTCAATTAAAGGAAACCATGTTACATACAGGTCTGGACTAGTCATTTTACTTCAGGGAGAAAGGAGGAAGAAACTGGGAAGTTTATTTACAGGTTTAGAAAGTTAAAGAAATATATATACTTTTAATTATTCGGTTGATCTGTAGGTTTAAAAGGGGCAAGTTCAAAACTGCAAAATACCATTGGCACTCTATTACTGTAACATGCAGTTAAATGCTTCCTGAAGGTAAGGAAGAGAGAGAAGAGTGTAAATGATTTTATACTGTGTTTCAAAGGTTACTGAAAAGGTATGGGCAAATGTTAAAGGCTACAGTCTTAGTTTTGCTATGAATATTACATAGGGGCAAGTACGGTACCCTGTCCACAGTACATGCCCAATAGACAGCACGGAATTCCCATGTTAATGTCTGGGCTTCAGATACGAACACAGCCCCTGCCTTCAGTAAATTACATCATGATAGTTAATATCCGCGGGCTTCCGTATATGCTCACACATCACAAAGGCTAGCAGTTACGAAAGCCTTCTGTGCATGAATACTACTCATTGTGTTAGGTTCTTCACATATATTTACCCATTTATTTCTCAAAACTCTATGAGGCGGGTACTATTACACTTCTCATTTTACATATGAAGCAACTGAGGCACAGAGAGGTTAAGTAACTTGCCAAGGTCACACAACTAGTAATTAGCAGAGTTGGAGTTTGAACAAAGGCATCCTGGCTCTGGAGTCTAGGCTCTTAATCACCACCCAGGGGACCTCTCATGGGGAAGAGACTTCAGAAGAGAGGACGCTATTTTCCCCACTAGTTGATGGGGAGGAAGGGGATCTATGAACCAAATCCTGAAAGGCAGGATGTGGCCATGGGAGACAAGAGTGGACAGCCTTAGTAAGTAACAGGATGGACTCAGGAGAGAGCGGGCACTCTGGCCAGAGCACAGACCAGGCAGAGCAATGAGCTCGGGGGGTGGGGGGGGGTCCTCCAGCACTAGCTGAAGGAGCGGCATTCTGTGGCCCAGGGAAGGGCTGAGCCTCATGAAGATCAGCGTGACAGTACCCCATTAGATGGAAGAGAGGGGGAAGATCAGTCAACGGGTTATTGAAGCTAGGCAGAGAATGTTGTCTTCGTCTCTGTTTCTCTAGCGCTGTGTAACGGGTGAGTGCTAGTCCATTTCTGCCGGACTGAGCTGTAAGAAAGGGGCAATGGGCAGGGCATGGGTGGTGGCAGGGACGGGGAAGGGGTGATGGAGCTGAGGGCTAAAGCTGTCGGGGACAGAAGAGATGTCGGAGGCGCAGCATCGTCAGATCCTGGGATGCGGGGCCCAGGTGAGCAGCAGACTTTAGTACAAAACACAGAAGAGACACCGCGCTGGAAATATGGAAGAAAGAAACCGCTACTAAGGCCTATCCTTACAATGCAGTATAAAAGGACAGAAGGAATGCTCTGGAGACCAAATGTTCCATGCCTGACACTTCTGAAAAAAGAAACCAGGGCAAATGGGCTTAGAATCATTTGATGATAAAATCTGAGGAAACTAAAGGAGATTTTAAGTACCAAAGGATGGCGTTCTGAAGTTCTGTGCTCTTATTTTAAGGAAAAAGGGAAAAGTCACTGTGACATTCACTACTGTGGCCACAGACTGAGGCAGGCAGGGGGCTACGACCCATGGCCTGACAGGCTGAAAGAGCAGGACACACAGGTGCCATCCAGACACGGCAGGAACAGACGGCTTTCACGTGACTGGCACTCAACAAACACTTGCTGCATGGGTCCTGTGCAAGTGATCTGACCACTTGAGTCCTAGCCTCCAGAGGGCCACTCGGCAAAGTCCGGCTCCGGGAAGGAGCCAGGGAGTGGGAGCCGACAAGGCGGAACCATCTGGAGTCAGAGCCAGAGACCAAGGACAGTGGGGGCTGATGGAGGGCCGACAGTTAGCTGCATGCTGTGTAGCTGAGTTTAGGAACAAGTAGGAATCAGACCCACAGAGATCACAGTATTGGCTCCATCCGGGGGGGGGCGGGGGGGTCCCGAATGGTGTCGGGCAGGTGTGCTACATGTGCCTT